ACCTTGGAATACAAAACTGAGGTCAAATGAAGAATACTTCTTGGCTTTTGCTTGTCTATGCTCAGGTTAATATTTCACTCCTGCATAGCTCAATATGCTCTTAATGTCCCCTTACAGTCAGCATTCTGTCCTGAATATATCCCTGGGCCATCCATGTCCTCATTTGCTGGCAATAAACAGCAATTTCTTTTTAGTGCTTTAGTGAGTTTGACGTTATGTAACAACTTTCACACGAACTTCAAGTGCCTGACGTGTAGTGATGCCCACTTTTCAGCCATTACTGCAGTGTGATGAAGTGTATGGTCAATTTTCCAATTGTGTTGACACTCAATTTCTCAATTCACCTTCCCTTCTGGATATTCTTTTTTTTAAACATCTGGATAGTTGGATTAGTCTTCCCTCTCCCAGGCTGGGGATGGGGTTGTATGGGAGTCACTTAGAAGCTTGCCCTGATACAAAAGGCATGTGCATGTGTCACAGTTTCTTCATGACATCCCACATTTGCCTGCTGGCTTCTGAATAGCTGTATTATGCACTCTTGCAGTCTCACATTGCTGTTCTGCAGCACTGATGGGTAACACAGCAGCTGCCCCACTGCCCAGCTGGGCTTGAGCTGGTGGTTGATCAAATGATATATGTGATCGCAGCTGTGGAACTGGGTGTATCAACAGTGTTTACTTCCATTAAAGTTGCTGCTTTTCAGAGAAAACCTCCAAGTCCTGAATCGTTGTGTAAATCGAAGTGTTTCTTTCCATTTCCTGCATTGTGTACATCTTCATTGGGGTGTAAAGCGATTTCATAACCTTAGGCTCTGGAGGATGACATTTCCTTTCCTCTGCTTTCGTACCACTTTGCACGCTATTTACCACTGTATCCTCAGCAGGTATTAGATAGACTGTCCCTAAAAACATTACTACCTGTCTTGTAATCCCTGGGCAGAAGGGGGAAATCAAGAATTTGGTCTCCTGGGATAAAGAAAGAAAGAGTTTATTTGTGATCTGTTTAACACAGAGGGGTAGGCAGAGAGGTAAACCATTGTAAGCCACAAAACTAATTTCTGCACTAAGCCTTCTTCATACTGACTAGTAAAATGAGCTTTTATATGCAGATAAATATTGCTTGTTTAGAGATACCCGTTTATTGCTCTTGGCAGTGCCTCCTGTAAATTGTTGTTGGGCATCCCACAAACAACCCAATTTTTAGTGTCTTCAGAGATCTCAGTTCTGTAGTGTAATCATCACCCCTCCCACTTCTTGGTTTCAGGAAAAGCACTGCTCTTTTTTTTTCTCAGACCAGCACCTGTCAGACACCTTTATCTCTTGTTTCAACATCACCGGTGTTATTCTGGGCAACAATATCTCACTCATCTTTGTCCCTTTTCCTCCACAGACATAAAAATAATGGTAATGTTTTTCTAACTCGGTTCTTATTTCTGTGATTGAACAAAGTTATTTGCCCTGAAAGGCAGCATTCTTTAACTTTCTTCCCTGTGGCCGTTGTAAAAAATATAAGTAAAAATGTGCACTAATGTGTTTTGTGCAGGCTGCCAGGTTTTTCCTCTTGATACCACTCAAACTATGTGTTCTATGTTTTTTTGAGACCTAATCCTTTTATGTAATATGTAAATAGTTCAATGTTCTTATGGACTTTTTATTTTTCGTTGAGCTAATTAAAAGTTATTCAGTCAAGTTATTCCAGTTCCTAACTCATAACTTCACCATAGTTCTTTCACTGAAGAACTGCCAAGTTGAAAAAATTAAGCAATGCAACTAGCAATAGTAGAACAAATATAAATATTATTTAAGAATATCAGAATGCTCACATTTTACTTTTCTTGATGCTCAAGGATGTACGAATTCCATAGTACCCAAAAAGATGTAGCTGTTTATGATACAATTTTGCATAAGACAGTTTCGTTTTGTATTCAATCAGTTGGATTTTCTTTCAATAAGAAAACAACCTTGCTTTAATCAAAAGTATTTAATGTTCGATGTTTCTGTTTCTCGTGGTAATCTTTTTTTTTTTTTTTCAAAAATACAATATTTTTTATAATTATTTTCAACTTTGTTATGGCAGGCACTGCAAACTGCATTTCAGAACCAAGGGCTGGGTAATTCACCAATAGATTCCATCTGTGTTGACATTGGCTGCACAGCACAGCCCGCCCCAGCTGCATGAAGTAACAGTGCTCCAGCAGGGTCGAATTCAGACAAGCACCATTTGTGTTTCATTTCCTTTTTTCTTTCTTTCTCAATAACATTTTGTCTAAAAACAAGCTTTTTCTTTTTTCCTTTTTCTTTTTTCTCTTTTCTTTTTTCTTTTTTCTCCTGATCTGTATTGAAATCTCTGCTTTGTTTCTGGATAACTTTGAAACTTTATTGTGATGTCAAGTTAAAATTGGTATGATACTCAGGATGGCTATGTCCTGGGTGAATTAGATTTAATAATAATAGGAATTTCATATAACATTTATACACCTGACAAGGAAAATAGTTTGAGGCTAGACCAAGATATTAATGTATCTGTCTGGTGAAAGAGGTGATATGAATCTGCACTGCCCCAGGAACCTTGACCATGACTCACTTGAGCAAGACTCTATAAGGAGAAAATAAAAAATAAAAATAAAAATTCTTCTTGAGGCAGTTCTCTCTATTGTGTCTAACGATTCAGGCCACACAAAGCTGATCTGTGCTGGTGTATTGTGCAAAATTCATGATGTGCTGTCAATATTTCAATATTAACTAACGCAAAGCATGTTTTAATGTCTCTTACACCCGTTGCACAGCGGCAGATAACCTTGAAAGACTCATTTAGTTGTGATGATGTGCAGATTTGCAATTTGTGTTTTTCAACAGAATCACAAGGAAATTGCACTAAAAGTCACATTTTTTCATTATTTTGCTTCTTTGACAGATAATTGCTCTAGCAAAACTGGTCTCTGATGAACATTAATTTGACTCACACTGTAGATAACAGTAATTTCCTTCTCTTATCTGTAATTGAGTGTGACATACCAAGTTGCCAATATCATTTGATATGGAAATAATATTAGTATGAAAGTCAGTCTGACCAAGAATTCTTGTGTCAGTCACAAATCATCTCATTGGTCATAAGGAAGTTTCTGCTGCGTGACGGCAGGTTAGTGCTCAATGAACTGAAGTGTAGATTTTTTCCTTTTCTTTCTGCGCCATTGGGAATTCATAAGCATTTACCTGTGAGATGAAATAACCTACTGTATATAAATTTAACTACAGAGCATTCTGAGGCTGGTAATCATCATCCTCTAGTTGAGAATTAGGTGTCTGGCATCAGCATGTAGTCAGTGTCATGTCTGGCTCTGGAATGCAGAGAGATGAAAGTGACAAAGAAATAATTTAAAGGCAGACAATGTCATGTTATTAATGCTCAAGTTCTTTCCAGATGACTTTAGACCTTTAGCAAAAGAGGAATCTAGTCACTGTGACTTCACCTGTATTACGTGCAAAAAGGCTTTATGCCTTTCCTTGACTGTTTTGCCCACCTGAGATCTAAATGATGTTCCAGAAGTATCTGTATCTGGTCATGATCAAAGCCCACCTGATTAGTTTCTTACTTTGATATCTCTGTTCCCTGAGTTTTGAGCCTAATGAAGACAAACACATCTATTTCATTACTCGACAATTTATTGAAAAACTGTTACTGCAGAAATAAGATTCCTTACAAGTTACGTTTTTGTAATAAAGCAATAAGCCACTGCCTTTGGAAAAAGACTTAAGTTCTGAGTGTTCTGTCCCTGGAGGTGTTCAAGGCCAGGTTATATGGAGCCCTGATCCAGTAACTAATTTATTGCTTGACAACCAAGCCTATGGCAGGAGGGATGGAACAAGATGTTCTGTAAGGTCCCTTTCAACCCAAGCCACTCTATGATTCTCTTATACGATTTCCTCCAATATAAAAATGTAAAACTGAAAACTTATGGCAAATCTATATGATTTATATAAAATGCAGCTTTGTTTTTTTGCTAAAAAAATAGAACAGTAAAGTCATACGGAAGAAGTCACAGAGTACTAAATTTACTTTGCTTCTATATCAACATACCAGCAGTTGGTCAGCTTTAAATTTAAAACAGGTTTATATTTAGAAAAGAAGCATTTCAGAATTTGACCTGGTATTTGAAATATTTATTTTATCATATAATAGTTTCTCGATGTTCCAAACTCTTCATTATTTGTTGCTCAGTTTTCTCTAAGTAAAGAATTAATATCTATATTAAGAATTAATTTGCTATTGAAAAACGCAGTACATCATTAAAACATGATCTAAGTTAACTCCTTGATATCTACCAGTGCAGTCTATTCAACTTTTCTAAACTGTACAACCAAAGGGGTTTTTTTTGCTACTCTAATATGAATTATTTTATAAATAGATTTCTAATAAATAAGCCTCAGCAGGGTAAAACGGCCTATGCACATAAATATCTTTCCTGCAGAGATCCTCTGAGTTTCTAGTTCTTAGCAAACTATATCTTTTCAACATTTTGGATCATATTGTGTCCCAAAGGACTGAATTTGAGTACAGGAGAGTAGGTTGTGCTTCCTTATTATGAGCGGAGGTAAAGCTTTGAAGCTTTAAGTCACTAAATAAGTCACTTCCCTGCTTCGAATCTCAACCTCTACTTATTATTGTTTAATTATAGCATCATATAATTAAGCTTGAGATTTAGACTTGTTTTTCTCCTAAAACCTGCTACTCTGCAGAATACATCTTATTCAGAGGACAACATCTAACTCCTTCAGAGCCTTGACTTTAGAGATAGTTAAGGTGAGAAACAGTTACGTAGTTAGGTATATAAACTGAATGGGTGTGCTTGTGACTCTATGTATGTATGTGTGTATATATAATATATAGCCAGCCTTATAAGCTGATCATGAGCAGATGTTCTGACCATGTTTATTTTAACACCTTGTTATTATATAATTACTTTAATTACTTTCACATTTATTCTTTTTCCCTTCATTTAGCCACCAGATAATGGGCCTCCGCCATTACCGACATCTTCCCTTCCGGAGGGCTATTATGAAGAGGCAGTGCCACTTAGTCCTGGGAAGGCTCCTGAATATATCACTTCCAGTGAGTACTATATATCCAGATTACTTTCACAGCAATTGAATGCTAATTCCAGTATCTTTCAGCTTTTTTTAGAATTCAACAGTTATATCTCTATTGGTGCTGTCGTATGGCATAAGTGTAGCATCATTGTCCTCACCAGCCATGTGTTGTTTTGGTACGCAGAAATGTTTTGATCTGCACAAACCAGGCTCCTTTTAGAAGAAAGTAAATCTGGAGCTCCAAGTTAGGTGCACATTAATGTTTCAACTGCTGCTGTAGGCAGAAGGTCCTGATTCGTTCTCTGGGTATATCTGAAGCATGAATGTGCTGGGGACGTTTGAATCAGGGGTTCAGAGTTAAGTATTGTATACTCACTAAACTACTGATAGTGTAGAGGCCTCAGAAATTGGTCTTGATCTGCAGCTCTGTTGTTATTCTCCTATTGCACTGATTTACTTGCTAAAATGTACAAATAAAAGCAAAAAATTGTCTTTTCTGAAGTGAGCGATTATTGAAAACATGCAGAATTTCTATTGATTGATGATGTAGCGACACATCATTTATACTGGCTCCCATAAGCCATGTTTAATGCATGTCAGTGTTACAGTAACTACTTGTTTTGTGCAAACGGCATAGGCTAGTCCCCCAGGTGACCATTAAAACTTCCTTTGACAGCACACAAATACTCTCTATCAAATTCCAATACTTATGCAAAGACTCACTGCACTGAAGAGGAGACAGGATGAGGGCATAGTAATGAGAATGTATGCATGGTGTTTTATAATAAAAAGTTGCAAAGATTTTCCCTTTTGCTACTCTTTTTTATTGGGTGAGGTAATTTAATACTTGTGTATGGCCTATTCATTTTTTGTGTGTGTTCCAAAGATTGAAGGGATATCTGCCTGCGTTTTTCGCTGTTTTTATTATTTGAACCAAAGCAAAAGCATAAAATAATATTTCTGTCCTCAAAGTACTTCCATAGGTGTCACCTGAAAACATTAATTATACGCTGTGTGGCAGGGAAATTTGCTTGTCATTGTGCATTAGCTCTAAACATTTAAAACCAAACCAAGGTAGCTGGCAGCTCTTAATTTGCTGGGAAATTCAAGATAAGAAGGAACTTCATATAATGCAAAGTAAATGAACGAACTTAGGGCAGCAAGATCACTTCTCTTCTTATGTCCTTGCTTGAAATGCTGCAGGGTGGTCCTGCTATACCCTGCAATCTGGTGAGCTGCTGACTTGTGTTTTGTTATTAAACAAAAGTCATACTCAGGCAAGAAAATATTAATAGCACAGATATTAATAGCATGGCTAAAGGATCACCTAGAAACAAAAAAGTGACACAGTATGAAACTGATACCTTTTTGTACTTAACCATCCAAATCCATAACAGTATTTAGGATATCAGCCTTCAAATTTCATTAATACTTCCATAAATGTTAGTATATGTACCCAGACATCTAAAGCTTTTTTACAGTAACTTATTAGTGCAAAAGTGCCACCTCCCTGCTTTGATTTTGCTAAATTTTCTTATGTCCTTAGATTTTAATTTGTATTAAAAATCATCCGCTCTTCTTCCACAATTAAGTTGTTTTTAAATTTAATATACCATTAGTAATTTATCTACACCCAAAATTTTCACAAAACCTAGTGTATGTGACTATGCACCAAAGCACTGTATTAACCAAAGATAGAAGCTATAGCTAATCAGACTGCTGAGATAAAGAAGACTGTAACAGCAAGTTTCTGGAGGTATAAAAAATGAAAGAATAAACTGTTAAATAACTGTTGAGATAAATGCAATTATCTTAAGCAAATATTCCTACAGAGTATTTTTGTAATATCATTAGTAGCAAGGAAACGTTCATACTGTATACTATACCTGGAAATCATTAAAGTCACTCAGACTTCATTAGATTTTATAAAATCCAAAACCAGTTTATTTTGGACAGATGCTTTTCACTTTCTTTTTTTCCTACTGGATCTTTATATTTCTCTCCTTCCTCCCCACCACCACCCTTCCAAAATCTTAAGGGTCTGTTCACATGTACATGTGCACAATACATTTTCAGATCTTAATTATAATTCCGAGTGCAGCCTCATCTATATTTTTTTAAATTTCTATTTTAAATGAAGATCAAACTATTGTGCACACTTTCATGCCACTACAAATGAGATCAGAATATCTGAGATTGATTTGGAGGCTCTGGTGTATCCTGTTGTCAGCTGCACATAGGTTGGGACAGCCACACAATAAGCTCACCAGCAATTCAGTCCCTTGTCTTGTTCCTAAGCGCCGTGGGTCTCTTTCCTATGTCCCAGGCTGTGTCCCAAGTACCTAGCTAAAGCAAATGAGAGATTTTCTTCCTTGAAGTATTTGAGTGAAATTTTATCTACTGGAAATATTCCAAGCAATTCTTCTCCGAGGGAAGATTCTTCACTTCTCCATGTGCCACTGGAAAACAAGTGTGTCTTCATGTCTCAGTAATTATCTGAGGGGCTTCATATATACCCAAGTAATCAACTAAATATGCATGGTGGAAATGAGGGCTCTGTAGTAATAGAAAATTAGTTTTGTAATAGAGGGGACTGTTAGAGAGCTGTCTGCTTTATTGAAAACATAAGGACTAAGAAAAGATTGCGTAATTAAAAAGGAATCTTGCCACTACTTCATGAAACTTGGTGCAGGATTAAACTACTTCAACTAAGCACATAATAAGTATTTTTGCAGAATGGTTTTAACCTGAGCAGAATCCATAGTTCAGGGAACATCATCATCTATCCAACAGTAATCATATCTCTGCAGGTGCTGTAATTGTGAAATACAAGAAATATTATGACAGGTAGATAGTACCCCCACATTTATTCTTGTGACCTTTGTCATATGCGGTGTTTATTTCTTAATATTTTTATTAAGATTCACATTTCTATACCTGCATTATGCAATCAGTGAGATTGAGACGTTTTATCTGTAAAAGAACTACAAAAGATGAAAGTATCTGCCAAGTAACACTTTGAAGGTAGTAAAGGCATTTATTCCGAGCTCGTTTTTCAATTAAAATTCACACGGTTTCAACACCTTCCGTCTCCTATAAAATTTCATAATGGAAACACATCTTTTATTTAATTAATTTAACGTACTGATATTACTAAGCACTGAAACAGTAGTTTGTTCATAGCAAATCAAAAGCTTAAAAAGGCACCCTGTTGGGCTCTTCAGTTATTTCTGTACACTTCATGGCTAAATGTTTTAACTTGACACTCTCACACTTTTCTTGAAGATTATGACTCAGATGCTATGAGCAGCTCTTATGAATCCTATGATGAAGAGGAAGAGGATGGAAAGGGGAAGAAAATGAGACATCAGTGGCCTTCTGAGGAAGCTTCTATGGATCTGGTGAAGGATGCCAAAATTTGTGCCTTCCTACTTAGAAAGAAACGATTCGGGCAATGGACCAAACTACTGTGTGTTATCAAAGAAAACAAACTACTGGTAATTCTTATTTCTATCTGGCTGTATTTTCTTTCTACCTTTTAGACTATGTATTTATTTTTATAGAGATTTAACTTTGGAATAAGTTCTGCAAACAGTGGCCAAGTCTACGGTAACCTTACCAATGAGTTTGGTTATGATTTACCCAAGAATCTGAAAACTACTGAAATTATAAGTGTATCATGTAACCACTTAGACTTTTATTGCTCTTAAACCCAGTCAGTTCCCTGATGTAGGAAAGAAAGTCTAGCCTATTAGCTTTCACTGTATTTCATTTGGAGAAAATTTTGCTGAAACTATAAATCCAATCTTTCATTCCCTGTGGACCAAAAATCTCATAGGGAGCTTTGTGTATGAACTGTTGGATCAGACTGCTGGAGAGAAAAGTCCCTTGTTAGACTGAGAACTCACTTGGCAGCATACGCTGTTGTAATGTATACATTTTAAACTAAACCTTCACCATCTGTTCTGCAGTAATTACAGATGCAGTATTCACATGATGCACAGCTGCATTATAGAAATACAGCCACTTGTTAGTGGATATATTTGTTTTTGAGCAAATCGGTCATGTTTCTGAATGATTGGAAGCACCAGTAAAAGATTCTGAAAGTTAGTAAATTGTCAGCTTATAGAAGTCTTTTTGTTTGTTAAAAAGAAGGCCTAATTGAGATTCATTTCTGTGATATTAAAGCAATCTGAGGCTTATAGTAACATATCAGCTGGGGCCTTCCAGTCTTCCAGCCTGGTGTTTGCGATAGGTCTAGCTAATTACGTAACTAGTGAATACTGTAACATCCCAAGGATTAAAAGCTGATTAACATGTGATAGAAAATTTTCTGTAGAACCTCACTATTTTACACGAGTACAGGACAGCTTAGGGCTGTTCACTTTCCAAGTACATTAACATTGGCTGTATGGGAACTATCATGATATGAAATAGTGATACCTGGGTAAGAGGCTTCTGGAAATCTAGCTGGACTTCATTTGCTAGTTTCCCATGGTTACTGAGGATTTAATGCTTGTATCCACAAACAAAGAAATGTTTAATGTGATTTGATTTGTATTATGTTGTTGTAACATCACTATTTTTAGTCATCATTTTTATCAACATATAAGAGAACCATACAATTACAGCTTGAAGAAAAGAAAGAAGAAGAAGAGAAAAAAGCGGATTTTCTCAGAAGTCACACAGTATTTCTTCTAGAATTATGTTTGTTATTCTATAGAGAAATATGTTATTTTTTTCTCTTTTCCTATAGCCACATGTGTGGTCTGCAAAGATTTTTCTCTTTATAGGGATTGTCTTTCATTAATTCTGTAATGGGTATTAAGAAAATTAAAATCCCAATAGGAGTTTAATGACCAAATTACACAAGATTGGTTTATTGTTTGAAGGAGGACTTGGAGATATAACTCATGAGATATGCAAGTAAAACAAATATATGTTCGGAGGGATTAGAAATTGCCTGCATTATAAATGTGGCTTTAATCAAAAAACAAAAATGTTTTAATTAGAATTAGACATTAAGAATAAGACTTAGTAGAGAATTGTTTGTTTTTTTTTTACATAAAGTTACCTAATATATAAATACTTCAGTAATGCATAACTATAAAAAAAAGAAATTAATGTAAAGGAATCTGTATGCTTTTAAATGCTTCTTAAACTGGCTATTGTATGTTTTCTAGGTTTCATAGCTTGAAAACTTAATTTTTTTGCAATTGCAACCTTACAAGCTGTGACCAAGTGGTCAAATTTTGAGTTAATTGGCCATGGAGAGAGAGTAAGATGATGGGTAGTTTGCAGAGAGGGCTGTATTTGTTCAGCCTAGATTGGAGTATTTATGACATCCTTCTAAGAGCTACTGTTCTGACAGTTTGCATCATGGCTTGAATATGCAGAAGTCCATGTGCTTTATTCTGTTCACATTTATACGTGTATTCTGCATGTGTGTATGCTAGTCAGTGTTTAATACCAGATACCTTTTTAGCCTTCATGCTTATCTGTATGAGTAAAAGCCCAACTTATATTGGTATATAAAATTACTTGGCATTCATATACACAGCTGAACATTGTTCTGCAGTCCTGCAGTCTAGCACTCTATGACAGCTTTCTTAAACTCAGCTATACTGATGTGCTGGACGAATAGGAACTCGGTCAGCAGGACAAATGACATAGTGTGGAACTCTTCATGTTCTAGTCAGCAAGTCAAACACAGATTAAATCATCAGTAATCCAGCATGGAATGGCTGTTCTTTGACAGCACTTGCTACTGAGGGAAAAAAAAAAGTACAATTCATATAGTTTTAGCTAGAAGCTTAAAGAGTGAACCAACATTTGTGTGATTTTTTGCAGTGAATGATGAAACTGAATTAGTTGAAGAACTACAGTCCTGTGGCCGTGCCCTCTTTCCACACTGTGACAAAATTTGCTACTTATCTGAACAAAAAGGGCATCTGAATAAGGTGTCTGTCTGTTCCTGAGCGATGGCAGCATGTAGGCACACCCTAGGTTTGCCTTGATGGTGCTGGAGGGCAGGCACAGCATCTGAGCTTGAAAGTCATTAACTGTACAGGCATATTCTATTGCTACCTGTGAACAGACACCCACAATCACCCTCTCTATACCTGATGGAGGCCAAGATTGAATCATGAAGACAGCAGAGATCCTTAATGCCCTCCATATGTTGTACCTGTCCTGCAACATCAGATCTCTATTAATGATGGTCTGGAAGCAATTTTTCTTTACAAAGAGGATGAGAGGCAGAAATGTGAAGCCAGCATTGGCTAATTTCCATGGTATGTGGTAAAGGGTCTGTGGAAAATATTAAAAATAGAATTTCTATATAATAACAGCTCTCCTCTGAAGTTCAGAAAGATGAGATCTAACTTTTGACCTTTCCTTACATTTTACAGTGTTACAAAAGTTCTAAGGACCAGCAGCCCCAGATGGAGCTGCTCCTGAATGACTGCAGCATCACCTACATCCCCAAAGACAGCAAAAAGAAGAAACATGAGCTGAAAATCTCGCACCAAGGAGCGGATGCACTAGTCCTGGCAGTACAGAGCAAAGAGCAGGCGGAGCAGTGGCTAAAGGTATGGGGTAACCACTTAAATTCCAGCCAATCTGAGACTGCAGAAATCCAGACTTAAAGGACTGGCCTTGAGGCAGCTCCTTGGGCAACCAGAAGCTCAGTGTCACACAGCTGCTGCATGTGCTTTTCACTGCTAACAGCACAGTAATTGGCACCAAGAGAGGAGATGACAATTCCCTTCCATTTTTATCTCTAGCTCATTCTCCAGAAAGATTTGTTTCAGATTCCCTCAGGTAAAGAAAGCTGGCACTCAGCATGCTTTTTGTCCATCAACATAGCAGCTAAGGCTACCATGCAAAATTGGGCATACGACCATCACAGTCAGATTTTTATAACAGAGGGAACTCCGAGTAGGTACCTGCTTGAATTGCTCAGGAGGAAGAAAAAATATTCAGATTACTGAAGTCAGTTAACATTTACTGGTTCTCATGGAACAGTGCATCCTCTGTTACAGTTTGCTCCGCAAAGACAGTTCTGAGAAACAGGATTTTGTCATTTTTCACTTTTCTGTTCAGTCTCTGAAAATGTGGAAAATTCTGGTGCAAGGGTGGCAGTTTTATACTGGACTTTGCCAGTCTCGATAATGGATAATGGAGTTCAGTGAGGTAGTGTGGGAAACCACTGCACTTTTAGTGGCTTGGTTTAAGACCTTTAAATCCAGCCTTTTAAATGTTGAAAGTCTAAATGCATAAGACCAATCAGGCATTCTCTATGCTGTGCTCTGATCTAACCTTATATGGTACTTATTTTGCTGAGAATAAATTGTATTTCTCCAAACACAATTGAATTAAACACATAGGAATTTCCTGATGACAGGTTTTGGTTGTTTTTTTTTTTTTTTTGTAGAAGGGAGGAGAGAGAAAATGCAGCTTAAGAGGTATGAGCTCTGCTGTGGGCTAACTGACCAAGTGGAAAATTAATCTGTAATTTCCTATTTTGCAACATTAGAATATACCTTTTGGGGATTGCAGAATATCCATGCTTTGTTTTGAATGGGAGTTTGCATTTTGTCTTAAAAAATGCACTCTGTTTTCTCTTTTTAATATAAACTAATCATTATTTTTAGGTGTCTTCTAACACCAGTATTTTAAGTTTCAAAACAAAGGACCATCTGAATGTCCTATTAACTCACCTCAAATTCAAAACATTGATGGGAATGAAAATAAATTCATCAGTCGTATTCTTTGCTGAGGGAATTCCACTTCAGTTAGATCATAGTAACTGTCCCATTATTTCCTGCCTTGTTTTAAACTTGAGTATAGCAAAGCTGAATACATTGGCAGTTATCAGACTTCCTTTCATAAAAATTGTTTTCTTTTTTTGTTGTTGTTTTTTTTCCCATAAAACTTTCTTCACAGAGAACAGTACTAGATTTTCCCATATCCCAGATGCATTCCTGCTACTTAAGTTAAAAAAAAAAAGAAAAAAGGTTTTGTACAGTTACACATTTGGCACAGTTGTGTGTGCTGAGGTCGGATGGCTGTACAGTATGCTGTCATCCGTAGAGCACGTGGAAACAGTCTGACAGCACTTTATTTAGTTCCTCCTGCTGCAAAGCTCTCCCAAAGAAGCTATCCCAACAACATGGCAATGCTACTGTATGCTCAGTTTCCAGGTTCTCAGTGCTGCTGCTGTACTCTCTGATCTGTACAACACAAATAGCAAGCCAGCAGCTAACCCGCAGTGGTTTGTGCAGCTCTTGCAACAGCTCCACAGTTTTGAGAAGTATGGCTCCTCAGAAAACGAAATTATTTATTTTCTGGTTTCTAAAAGATATGAAAGAACTGTGTTTTTGTTTGTTTTTTTTTTAATTACGAAAATACTTGGGCTTTAATCATTCAGCCCTTACAATGATCTTGTGAAGATTGTAATTTCTGTAGGTAATAAATAGACAGATTTGTACACTATGCAAAGGGCCTCTGCATCCTTAGTTTTTAATGATAACATGCCCTCTCTGTCACTGATGCTTTATGAATACATACGTGCCAGTGGAGCTAGGTTATTGCTTGGGAACAACGGGTTCCCATGAAGAAATCTGTATGCAAGTATGAAGTTAAAGCTTTATTCTTGAGCCTGAAAAGCTCAAAGTGGATTTGGAGGCCAGATTTTCCCATGAAAGCTAAACTAGATGATCTTTTTAAAGTCAGATGTAATCTCTCTAAGATGCATTTGCTTAAGCAAATAATTTTAAAATACCTATTGAAAGACAAGGGGCATTAGAACAAGTAGAGTTTAAATAAATGCAGAATACTTCAGACCTTTTTTGTAAAGATGACACCAAGAAAACAGCTGATAAACGTGCAAATTGAAGTCTAGACTGGAAACCACAAAGGGAGTTTCAGGTTTACCAGCTAACAAATACTTGCTGAAAAAGATAGCTGATGTCACCAAAGAGCCTGTCATGATTGCAGAGCATTGAGCATAACTGGTATAAAATCCAGGCTACAGCTGAGATCATAGCAGTATTACCGTGTACAACATAAAGTGGTGGAAATTTCCAAACTTGAGTCCTAAAATGTTCCCACAAAAATGTACATGAAAAAATGTATGCAGTTACACACTCTGACCCAAACATGAGCTTTTTCCATGTGCGCTTGGAGTATATGAGCATCTGTGTGCACTTTTGTGCATTTGTGGTCAAGTAAGGTCTTAAATCTTCCTGTTTGTCTCAGCACATCCAACAGACTGATGGAAACTACGCACTTATTCGTGAGCATCCCTGGGAAATGCTACATTAGAAATAAAAGAACTACTAAGAAGATTACAAGAAGATGCTTGTTTAGTAGCTTCATTCACACAGATGAATATGTTCTTTGTGCAGGGCCTTCAAACTAGCCCCAGAAAACAGCTCTTAATATTATAAATACTTGGACGCCAAATAAATAATGTCTGAAGCAGCTTCTTGTAGAAGACCAATAGGAGAAGGAAATGGTCATGGTGTCCAGCCCCAAGGCCTTCTCCTCCTCCTAGAGATGCTTCCTGCAAAAATGAATTTTTGATTTATCATTTACCACTTATCTGTCATGCATCGTAGCTAATCTATGAATCATTTCTCAATCTTGTCCTTTATTTTCATTTCTTCCTAATGGTAAACACCCTTGATTAACTTTTCTTCAGTTTATGGTATGCAGCAGCTCTTCCCTTCAGTGTGTGTAATTGAGCACATTATGTATCTATCCTCATATCTGCATCTGCCATTGTCCTGATCATGTAATAAGAGGGATTTCATCCCAAAGACAGAAGAAAATCAGAGCTGTGTCATTCAGTGATGCTATGTTGTTCCTCAGGAGACTGCTGAGTTGACCTACCTACTTCCATCTTTGACAATTGCATGTTATCTCCTGTGAAAATCTTAGAAAACCTCTTAATTTTCCCCCACTAGTTGAGCTTAGTGAGAGGGCCAAGTGGCTTCTGGGCTTTAGTCTTAATGTGGGTTGAGTTTTACTGAAGAATAAACTACTGGCATAGCTCCTTGTTTACCAGTTCAAATCAGCAGAAAACTGAGCTTGTAACCATAAACACTGTGTGTCTGCTTTTACTTTCTATGGGAATTTCCAGCTGAAGATCTCAAAATACTTCAAACATTACTTTCTTGGCTGAAGCAAAGCTCCCTAAAGTTGTCATAATCTCCATTTTTTAGCTGGGAAAAGTCAAGTGCTGAATGATTGTACCTTAAAACTAACTAGTAGAAATGCAGTAGGGGGATGCATGCTGAGAACAACTGATTTCCATACAGTGTTTGTTGGCTTACAAGTAACTGTAGGCATGCACAGTGTCCTGGGACAGTCAGGCTGGGTTCTTTCTGCACTTCATCACCAGTGCAATGCAGTGATGGCAGAACCTGGAGGATCAGAGCGCTGAGCTGCATGTGAAAGCTCTGACAGCCTGCAAGATCCCTTCTGGTGTGCTTGGGCAGAGCAGCAGAACCCTGTCTTCTCTGGGAGGTGGTCAGCAGCCAAGTGAACCAGTGGGTTTCTGTGACTAACACTGTGGGAAAAGATGTACTTTTTAAAAAAAGAAGGAGATGCTGTATGTAATATTTTCTTAAAAAGCAATGAATGAGGAACCGCAAGTATCCTATTTGCTTGCTTTCTCAGGGATACATTTTCTTTATGCTAAAATCTCAAATGCAAGCTGTAGCAAATCTCAGAGCAGCACTTGGAAGGGCTGAGACTGCATCTCCTGCTTTCCCACTAGACAGTATTCCTTCTCTCTCCTGCTTGCAGATTTGGATGGCAAATTATTTAAGCAGTACCCAGCTCAGATTTATGGCTTGAAATGCATTCTGCATCCTTGCACTGCCTGGACTGGAGGTGCAGCCCTGTGCAGGGGCATGGCTCCCCATGCAGAGGAGTGTCTCCAGCCACCCAGCACTGCCTGTCCTGGGCTCTGTCTGATCCAGTGGCCATATATGGAAATAGTCTTCATGGTAGCAATGCAAGAAAGAGGACCCAGGGTTTGTCTTGGTTAGATACGCCAGGAAAGTATTTTTATGGGAATATACACATAGTAAAATAGGCTTGTTGGCTGTTAGTTTGAGTCTCATCCCCAGTTTACTCAGAGAAATGGCAATAAGACAGAAAGATGAATCTTTTCAGGATAGGTTATGCTTCAGGGTGTTGTTTTCCAGTACATAAAGTAAAACGGGTTTATTTTCAGGACTTACAGCATAGACTATGTGAATAATTTCTGCTTTTCCTCTAATATCTGTGGGTAAACTTCTTGAGGCATTTCTTCTCTTTAAAGTGCTAGTAGAACTTTGGTGCTCTGTTAAGTAGGATAAGATTGATGCTAATATATGTAGTGCATAAGAGGTCCAATGGAGAAAATGAGAATTTAGTTATGCCAAAAGTCCCAGAACTCCTCCAGCACTGAGCAGGAGGTGCTTCAGAAGCAAGAACTGCTGGAGTAACTCTGGAGCCAAATGCATTTCCTTCTGCTTGGTTGTATATATGCAGCTTTCAGTTTGACCATATTCCCAACTTCAGAGATAAGAAGAGATGAGAGGCAGGGAACATAAGCCCTCCCCACTTCTAGCAGTTCCTATATTCTGTGAAATGTAGGGATAGATAGGGACAGGAGGGTTTGTTGGTTGGTTGGATGAATTTCTAGTTTGGCTGCATAAGGAAATGAAGCAAATGTCCTTCAAAAAATGAAGCAGTCGTATCATTTTTCTTTCTCATTTATTTTGAACTCTGACAAATTTAATCTTTTCTCTGCCCGTTGTGGGAGATGGTGTCTGTCTCACAGACATTAAATTCCTGTGAGTTGTACATCTCTGTGGTTAGTACAGTCTGTGACTGATCTTGTCCCTTGGTATCTTCCAAGACAAAATTTTGTAAGCTCTTCAGACACAGGAAGGCTTTCAGTCTTACTCCTTATCAGTTACCAAAGAGCTCAACCACAAGGAACCAGCTGCATACTTAATACTTTTGCTCAGAATTTGCTGGGTTTCATTGTGGCATGGTATGGTAAGTAAGTAGCTGACTTTCTGGTTTTACAGCATACCCCATTTTTTATCTGGCAGTTGGATCTTTGAAGGTAGCTGGAAAATGCTAATTTGATTCTACTGATTCTGCATGTAAAAAAAATAAATGTAGGGCAACTGTTTTGCCTGCAGTTGTGGTGTGTCATTTAAAATAAAATACACATAGAAATTTGTGTGTGAGTACAGGTATGAAAGATTTGTAGTCAACTTTATTGCTTCTATAGTAGGCTTTTATAAAGAGGAATATTCCAGACATACCACATGGCAAAAATTCCACTGGCTTCACCCATAATTATCAGCTGCTTTGGGCAGGGAATCTTCCCAGCTGTGTACCTGTGAATATTTCCCCTTCATTCCTCACACCAACATCAATGCTGTACACTTGCATATCAGACCCAGCTGGGGATTCAAGACCTTCTTATAAGTAAGTACAAATAGTACAGTGCAAGCTCACAAGCTTCTTCCATGTCTGCATTTGAAAGAGGCAGTTCTGAAATCTAATCGTAATATTGTTACGGTAAAATTCTTCTGATGGAATAGCAAGAGATTATTTTAAATTTATTTACTTTTGAAGCTGTCCAAACAAATGAAAGGTCTTTGTCTTCTGGTTACATTTGTTCATATATTTTAATTATTTTAATACATAGGATGTTTACAATCTTAGTTTGATTTTCCTGGCGTCCTGTGTGTATGTGTATATAATATATGATGCATTTATAGTGAGAAGAAGAGAATGATTTCCCTTTTCTTATGTGTGGGAAAAATTAAGCTATTAATGGAGTACGCTCCATTACAAAGTAATCTAGTGGAGCATTCCAATTCCATTTATTGAAAATCACACATCTGGGAACTTCTTTTATTTGCTTTCTAGTTTAGGAACTGCTGTGATGATATATTTATTCGTATTTTCATACATTTCATTGCAACGGATAGAAGTTCGCTGACCTCACCCTGCTCCTGCTCACAAGTATTTTTAATGAAAGTAGCATTTTTTTGTTTTCATATGACTACAGGAGATGGAACATTATAGAAAAAAAATTGACAAGAACTCTGAGTCTTGTGACAAAAATTCTGCAAGTTGGCAACACGAGTGGAATGTTTTATCCTTAAAATTTTGAGTTAAAGCTATAAGCATGTGAAAACCTCATTTATAATGGCAGCTGTCTGCAAACATAATTATAGAGAGTGCATCCAGGCACCCATTATATATTAAAGGCATTTCATCCTGGTGAGCTCTGAAAGTATGAATTCTATGCTGTACATCAAACACAATTATACTGCACATAGAAGATGATGAGGAAGCATTTGCTAACGAACCCCTTGAGCCCAGATGAAGTGTGGAATCCTTGAAAATCCATTTTCTTCAGATCTTGACATGAACTTCTATTTGGCAGTGTGATATTTTTTCAATCAAAATTTAATTACAACCCAATTAAACACTTTAGCTTCTCCTTAAATATGTGAGGTATGATAAGAACCGTATTTACTTGAGTGCATGACTTTGCACATACTATTCAGTTAGCACTGCCAAATCATTTCCCTCTGTTCTGTCTGTAACTCCCATTACTATCTGCTTTTGCCAGAATTAACTAACTGTGTGGTGTGAGCAGATGCTGAAAACATGAGCCATTGAATCAGGGTCATGCAGAAGACAGAAATGAATGTTCCCAGAAACTGTGTTTTCTCTAACTGAAGACCAGTAATTGAAAGGAAAGCAATACGCAGAAACAAATTCTAATGTGCGTGTAGAGACTTAGGGAGAACTCTGAGATGCAAACGTTCTGCAGTAGACATACCTACATTTTCCATTAGAAAGCACACCCTGTGCCATGAATTTGATCATACTGTGCTTATGTTTCTGAGAAAAAAACACAGAGAAGTTCAGACAGACATGAAAGGATACCAAAACATTTTAAGATACTTAGAAGTAAAAATGTAGGTTCATTTCTCTCCTGTGCTTAGATTTGTTACGTGACATTGAGTGAGTGATTTAATCTTTCTTTCATTTCTGAGCTCTCCATCTGTAATATAGGGATGGTTCTCTTCCTGTCTTTATGGGGTATAGTGCCTTCCTTTAATTTATGAAGTGCTCGTGAATTGTTTCATTAAGGTCTCTGTAAGACCATAAACATTTGCTTTGTTTAGCTTCACCCTTAAAGGGAACTTCAGTACTGTGAAAATAACTTTAAACTGTGTTTAATGTTGTCTTCAGCTATTTATGATTTCTACATCAAAATTGTTCAATTCAAAACTGGGAAGTGGCTGTTATTATCCTGCTCCCCATTTAAGGAAATCTGGATTTTGACAGTTAGATAATTGCTATTATTTCTGCACCTGGTAGTTCTCAGACCAAGTCCTCCTCACTCCTACCCAGACTTGCTGTAAATGGGGAATAAGAGAGAGCAGGATGTGTAAACACAGTCATGTACATTGAAAGGGGAAAATCTGCACATCTAGCAGGAAAGCTTTCAGCAGGGTAGGATGTCTTCCCTCCTTAGCGAGCAAGCCAGGCTCTGCTGTCCTCATGTGGCTGTTGCTGTAATCCAGTAGTGGAAGATCACTGGTGTGTACAGAAGAGTCATAGAATCATTTAGTTTTGAAAAGACCCTTAAGATTGTCAAGTCCATCCATCACCTCACATTCGTATCCTTCACAGAGCCTTCCAACACTAAAATAGATCAACTCTTTTGCCCAACTTGGTGTAATTTGCAAATTTAATGAAGGTAAACTCAAAACTGGCCTCAATGCTCAGCCCTAGGGAACACCACTTGGGAGTGGTCACCAATTAGATTTAACTCCAATCACAACAACCCTTTGGGCCCTGCCATCCAGCCAGTTTTTTACCCAGAAGACAGTATATCCATCCAAGCCATGAGCAGCCAGTTTCTCTAGGAAAAGACTGTGGGAAACAGGGTCAAATGCTTTGCTAAAATCCAAGTAAACAACATCCATTGCTGTTTCCTCATCCACTCAGTAGGTCATCATGTCATAGAAAAGATCAGGTTAGTCAGGCAGGATCTGCTTTTTATAAATGATTAGATATGCTAAACACTAATTAGATGTGTTGAATGCTGGAAAACTCTCCTTGGAAAGGTTATATTCTGATTTTGTTTTCTGTCTGCTGTTTATCTTATTAGTCTATCCAAATATGTACTTGAAGTTTTCATTTCATGTATGGCTGAAAAGCTTTAAGATGGATACTGGTGAATATTGCAGCTTTCCCTAGCTCAGCTTTTCTGACTGCTCACATAGAACTTAGGCTTGTATTTCCTGCAGTCAGAAAGCAAGTAAGATGGCAGTAGTGTGTGTGACAAAAGAAGTGTAATCAGTTTCCATTGGCATGAGTCTGCATAGGAGTGTCAAGATCTGTTCTCATCATCACATGCAGTTTCACACTGATAATCACCTGGTAGGAACCTCACTAGGAAAAAAAAAAAAAAAGTTAGCATCATAGAAAATCATCAGATGTCTTTAATCATCACGTACATCTACATTTAAATAGCTTCAGGTTTTGAACTTCACTTTCTATTGAGATCTCAGTGATTTCCGTGAGATTTTTCTTTAACATTTTAAAAATAGACTTAACATCATTACCATTCTTGAGAAGTCATTTACAATTACTTTGGCCTAGACCTTTATGTCAATATGCAAATATAAAATGAAAATATCATGAAATACCTCTGCACAGTATTAACTGTAGATCAGTCGTCACTTCCTTGGATTTAATCCCACTTTTTTTGGCATAATAATGCAGGTAATTCAGTGGTGTCAGCAAAGTTCATATTGCAGAAGTAGCGCACAGAAATCAGCAGCACTTTGGTTTCTTTACTCAGGAGGGCCTCAGAGCTTAGCTTGTCTAGAAACTGACACCTTCCACCTCTAGACACCATGGCTCCTGCAGGTCGCACATGACATGGCTCAGGAAAGCAGTATGAGAGCTTTGTAGTGGCAGCCTGCCTGACACACTGCTGTGGACAGAAAGATTTTCACACCAGTGCTTTTCTAACCTGCCAGCCTACTAAGTGTTTGTGTGAATCTCCTCTCCATTTCCCCTTCACATGCATACATAATTACTCAAATTTGTATTTGGTAAGTAATTAATAGGTTTTGCCTTTGCTCCTAAGGTCATAAAAGATGTGTGCAACAACTGTACGGGCACTGTGGACTCTGATGGGCCATTGTCTAGTTCTCCAGTACACAAGACAGAGCTGGAAAAGGTAAACTTACCAAATGATTAACACTGACTTTCTCAGAACTATTATTGAGGCTCTGCTGGTTGAGGCAACTGCATGGTTGAGAGGATGTTCTTCAGACCACAGTGGTTTCATCACTAATTTCTGAGGACGTGGTCTGTCCCTCTGGTGGCATCACACTGCAGTCATTATTGTTATGTTGCATTGTACCCAGGAAATTAAGAGCAAAATACCTTCCACAATAGCTCAGATGTTTTCAGTGCACAAGCCCAAAGAAGCTGTGTTAGCATGCTTTCAAACACCAGCACATCATTAACAAAGTAAATAGAAATATCAATAAATAGTTGTATTCTAAAATGCTCATCTTGAAACAACTTTTCCATGGTTTCTTGTTGTAATATTCTGTACATCTTCATGGCTCCACCACTCATGAAGAATATGGTGCCAGCATAATCTTCATTCCACCTCATCCTGTATCCCATACACAGCAATTACAGGATAACTGGTGCTAAAAATCTCTTTCAAAAGCTCCTATTTTGCAAATACTGAAAATATTTAAGCACCTGGTAGGAATGCACTGCTTTCTGACAAGTTGGTACTGTAAATGCATATGTGAAGAATTTCTTAAAAAAAATCATTTTAAAGTTTGTCTTATCCACATTCAGTGTTTAGTAGAATGTTCATTGCTTAGCAGATTAATACACAGAGACACTGTACAGTCTTGTAATGTATTTAGTCTATAATGTGCAATGATCTTTTCACTTAGAAGAAAATCTTGTGATGTAGACTTAATTTGTAATTTCGGTGCTATTCTAAATTCTATATGGAGCTGTAAAAAAATGATTTAAAGCAGAATATTCTACTAACTTCTGTTTACCTTCAGAGTGGATCCGTGCTTGAAAAGTGCTTTATTTAAATTTGCAAGCTTAAATTTTAAATGCAAGCTTTACTTAAATTGACTGGTGGGACTTAATGTGGTGAAGCTGACAATGTGATATGGCAGGGCAACTGATGTCTTTTTTCCTGCAGAAGTTGTCATCTGAGAGACCAAGTTCAGATGGGGAGGGTGCTGTGGAAAATGGCATCACCACAGTGTGCAATGGAAAAGAACAAGGTATGTCTCAAATGCAGAGATGCTTACTGCAAAGAATATGTGCAAATGTGAAGAGAGAGGAAGTAAAATACATCTACCTTTTTTTTTTTTTTTTTTTTTAGTAGTCAGTAATGCTTTTGAATTTTTACTCAGTGGGAAAAATCAGTATTAGTATAAAGAAACAATATAGAAATTTTGATTTGGCTTTTTCTTTATTCAGAGGTACAGTTTTTTAAGGACAGAGCGACCACTATAGGCAACTAACAGTTGTTTATGGTAACTCTAACTGTACAGCAGGAATATAAGTAGTGGATGTATAGACTTTAAGCAAAAAAAAACCCTGTATCTCTACATATTAGAAGGAAAGGATCATGTATACTATATATATATGAATATATATCTCAGTTTATATGTGTATGTGTCTGCACACATAAAAAAATAAGTATTATGTATGATTGTGTATATTAATATACTGCAATGTACATAATCATGTTATATCAGTGGGTTTGTGTGTATACATTCATGTAATTTTAAATGTGCTGCTTTGGAGCCATGCGTGTCTTGTAATCTGTGTTGTCAGAGGCACATCCCAAACTCAGGGCATTTTCCATGAGTTGTATCTGAAAAACTCAACGTCTGTGCTCTCACCTCCACACTCTTTGTTTTCTCCCCCAAAGAAAGGAAATTGTGTGATTTCCTTAACATGCTGTGTAGCAGTGGTATCATTTAGATGGCACAGAATTGACGTTTTTTTGCAGCTGTGAAGCCAAAGTGTAATGTGAGCTGCAGGAAACACAGTGTGTCGATACTGGCTTTGATGCCAGCTGCCAGCCCTGTCTCGCCTTTTCATTCATTCCCTCTGTCTTCTTCCTGTGTCATTTTTCCAGCATTTCCTCACCATTCGGATCTCTGACATACCCAGTGGAATGGAACAACGTCAATTATTGTGGTTTCCAGAAGCTGCAGTACACGTTTATGTTTTACAGCATAACTGCTAAGCTTTCAGAAAGCCCACTGCTCAGGTTTTAATCTCTGCAGCCCACTGATCACCTCTGTCATACACAATCCAAATCCAGGTGTTGTCTAAGATGTCCCAGAGTGACCACTGGCTCAGGTGCCCTGCAGGAAGCATGCTGGTGGGTCACGTGCTGCTAGGAAGCCAGAACATCTGCACTGGTGTTTACTGGAAAAGAAACCATCCACACCCAAAACCCACTTTTTTGCCCTCAGCACTGCATGTACCAGGTGGAAGATTTATATGATCTTGGCCACAGATACAATTACTAAATCATTTCCCATGTTTGCTAGCAATTAAGCTAAACATGATAAATTATGCCCTTGTAAGTCTCAAACTGCTACTCTGTTTTCTGTATATTCCTCTTCCCAGATCATTTCAGATAATTCTTTTTCATGTGAACACTTTGTTCTCTTTCTCCTTGTTTACACAAGCCCATAACCATTAAATTTTCTGTTTGGGGAAGTAGGAAATGGAACTAAGGATGTGAGGGGTAGACTTAAAGCAACTCCATCAGTAACTATCCTATATGTAATTTCCATCTGAATCATAAATCAGGGCAATTACATGGGTAGATTTGCTACCCTGTCAGTTAACAGATCGACTTTTGCTCTGTTGATGGAATCCAAATCCACTGAATGTCATTTCTGAAACAAAGATTCTTTTATTATTTTGGTTTTATTTTTCAAATAAATTTGTCTTTTCCTTTTTTTTTTTTTTTTTTTAATTCTGTTTTAGAACCTTTTTTTCTTATTTTTCTACTAGTTAGAATTTTAGTCAGATATGCACTTTTAAAAGTGATATTCACAGTCTTTGCCCTGTTACCTTCATGGCTCAATGCACAGACTGGATGTTAGCAAGATCTCTCCTTTCAGCAAGCTTTATATTTTTTGTGATCAGCAACCATGATCACAAAAAGTGCCAGCTTTTAATCATTGATTGCTTATACTGATCCCACTAATTTACTTGTTAATAGCTAATTTATGTCTTGTCTTTCTGAAAGGCCTATTGTGATTAGATTCCGTAACAACAGAGCCATTTTTGCTAGACAAGCATATTATGTCTTTGTTACTTAGTTGTTGCCTTTTATTAGATAAGCGTTTAGAATGATGTCTGATCATCTGGCTGGATTTTTATTCTCATGTATAGGTGCTGAATAGTTTGTTCATATTGATAAACTTACACAATGACTGCTTTGGAAAGAGACTTCAAGCTTGATTAGATGAAATTAAATTAGAAGTTTGATTTTTGTTTTTATTACCCTTTCAAATGCCATGATTTTTATAATGAAAGGGTGATTTAAGGGCATCAGTATTTAGGAGGACGTATAATGTTTATCTCATGGCAGACTGCAACTGTACAAATGTTTACTTTACATTGTTTGCCAAAGCTACTTTTTTTATTCAGATTGTTTCTGTTGACTACATAATTTAAACACACTAAAATGCAAACTTTTGCTTTCTTAATAGTGAAGAGAAAAAAAAGTTCAAAAACAGAAGCCAAGGGCACTGTGACTAAAGTAACAGGGAAAAAAATAACGAAGATCATTGGTTTAGGAAAGAAAAAGCCATCAACAGATGAACAGACCTCATCAGCTGAAGAAGATGTTCCAACATGTGGTAAGTTGTTTTTCTTCTTGGGTCTTTAAGGCAGCTTGTAACTAAAAATTTTTTAACATTCTAGCCTAGAAAGTCCCATGAATTTGCTTTTACTGCTGTAATTTTTACCTCTGCATCAGAAAGGTGCACTCAGATTGAAAGACTAGAGTAATCAAGAGCTTATCATTCAAAGAGTCTAGAAGAGTTTAACTTTTTAAATAAAAGAGTAGCACAGGCTTTGAAGGAAATGAGCTCTTTTCAAACCAATAGGTATAAAATGAGTATAGGTTGGATTATAAAATAAATTTACGCTTCATTTTAGAAAAAGGTTCCTGGTAAGCAGTCAGCTGTTTTTGATGAGTTTATATGCAGTGGCAATGATGACAGCAGCCACCTGGTCTCAGCTGAAGTTATTTGACTTTAATTGTTGGTTTCTAAAATGGTGCCTATTGAGCAAATTTCTAGAAAGCTATTTTAATTGCTAATGTTGATCACTGTTAATGACAGCTGTAGTGCTTGACACACCAAGAAGGTACATAAGAAAAGACACATAGAAAATGTCTGTTTTGTATCTGAGCTGCTAATATTTGCTTGCTATTTATGACTTTTGTAATACCTTTAGCCAGTGTCCTCATGGCTCTGTATTTTTGAACAACGCAATGCACTGACATTCTTCTCTTTGCCTTTTGGTGCTCCATTATTAAGTAATGGCTATTCATGTGAACAAATTTGTTCCCATACTTCTTCCAATCTTTCAAAAAAAAACCAAAAAAACAAAACCAAAAAACCATAGCACGAGAACTGTGAAGCAGTTGCAGTTTTGAATTTGGCTTGGACTTTTCCCCTTTAATTGATTAGGAAATCTTGGGAAACCCAGAAATCTGTGATTAGGCAGCAGCTGGCAGAAATCTTTGGTGCATGAAGTATAGTAGTTGCTTGCCCAGTGTGAAAGAAGATTCATGGACCACCAGCGAGAACTTCATAGATTGCAGATGGCTCTCAAGGCCACTTTGGGAATAACTCTCATAAGAAATCTTTGATTAAATAAGTGTGTGCATATGTCTGTATATCAACTAAGTAAAGATGTGATTTATCAAGCAAAGGAGCAGCTGGGAAAAGCTGTGTCCAGCCAGATGCATTGTCCAAACCATCTGCCTTTCATAAAACTTCTAACTTCCTGGGTCTCATAGTCGGTTGATTATTCCATATTATGTGAGATGTTAACCACAGCTGTACAATGTAATTCTGAGTACGTCTACCATTATTTCAGATATGGGCATAAATATAGCCATTACTATTGTCTGTATTTGGCTACACCACTTGCAAATTTTATAGAAAAATTTAAGTGTCTAGGCTTTAGTCAGGCAGGAAGTCTTTGCAGAGTTTCTCACCACCAGAAATTTGTCTATGTGCAATGCTCTCTGGGAGGTTGCTCCGTAGTTGAAGGCTTTTACACTTTAGAATGTTCTGCCTTACATGAACAAAGGAAAAGCCCAATCACACTGCGGGGGACACCCAGCTAGAATGGAAACAGAAACAGAAACCCACCTGCACTTAGAGTCATAGCAAGGCTCTTCTCTCAGCATCACTGGTCTTTGGCCACATGAACTAAATTGAAGTGCTAATGCCCCAACTGGAAACACATTCAAGGCATTTTGGTCACATTAAATCTTAAAGATTTAAGTAAGACTATTGTGGAGGAAGAACATGGAGTCCTGCTTATTTAAGCAAAATATGAAGAATTGGAAGAACTTTTCTGAGAGCTGCATAAGGAACAGAGGATGGGGAAAAGTAATGTCTGAAAAAAAGACTCTTCAAAACTAGCCAGCTGGCTTGTACATGAAGGGTTTTCCATTTCTAGTGATTCTATTATAATACACAGCTATACAGGTTTTTTTGTTGGAGGAGGAGGGAGGAGAGTTGGAGAGGGTGATCATCACAAGGAGCCAAAATCACAGAACTGAGCACATCCTCCTTTTTTATGGCATCTTCCAAGTTGTGCGCAATTCCGATCTGCTATATCCTGTTGGATCAAGCTTTGACATTGGAATCATGATGTTGGAAGGGAAATCCAGAAAAAATAATGATAAGTCATAGTTCTAATGAAAACCAAAGAGATAGCTATCCAACATGATTAAGTGCTTAAATGAAAATCAGACCTGAGATTGAGGAAAAAATTTTTACATAGATCCTGGTCTGTGCAAGGTATCATTTCTACTCAGCTTGTTTGGAAACAGCAGCATACTGAATTAATGTACTTGTAGTGAGGAAGCAAAAGTAAAAAACAGTTGGTGGGGTTTTTTAGTTTACAAATGAAACAGGACAGAAAAAATTGGACATTAATTGTCTTGATTTTCATGTTTGAAATGATTATTGCTGTGGGACTGAGAAGAAATAACTACCTATTTAATGACTTCGTATGCCTAGAAAGTGCCTACATCTGGCATTCAGAAGGATAAGGAAAGCAGGGTTTGTTTGAAATGCTATTTATTCATGGAATTTTGATTTGTTGTAAGGACATGATTTTGGGCAACATTGGTGGTAGGTGGATAGTTGGACTAGGTGATCTTATAAATCTTTTCAAACCTTTGTGATATGATGATTCTGTTCTATGATTTTGTGATATATTGTCGGGGAAAAAAAAGGAAAAGAACAAACACGTCTTGAAGTTATGCTAAATTAGCTAATTTCATATTTATTTAACAAGTTTTAAGTGAGAATTTATTTCTCGTGAATATTGATCCATTAAATTCTTATTTAAGTGCGTTGCATTCTTCTTTCTAAAGGAAATCAGAAAAGGTAGCATCAGTGTGTAAACCTAACAGTGCTAATCTGTTCCTATTGGCAAAGCAGACATTGAGTGGAGGAATCTTAGAAGGTCTGTAGGATACTGTGAATGTTACAGAAGTTAAGTCATCACTTAATTATATAACAGGAGCTGTGATTTTCCCAGAAGATTTGGGCAATCACAGTTACATAGCAATTATAAACTGAGCAGGTGGGTCTTCTATGAAGAGCTGTATGAGCACATCAGCTGTGCATTTAGCTTATTAACACTCTCCATCTTCAATTTAACTGAAGTTTTGGTCATCAGTAAGCTCCAGCTTACCCAGCCACTGCAGTGACTAATACAAAAAGCCATTTTCAGGTGACCAAGATCACATCTTAAATGATTTTTTACTAGGTTATTGGCACAGTGAAATTTTGCATTGAAGAAGTGGGGCAGAATCATTTACTTGTCTTCCTAAAATCCATCTGGTCTTCCTATTACAAGAGAAATAATTTGTTTAAGTGATAGCATTATTTTGAAAATAAGTGGATTTTTTTCTTTGTTTGTTTTTCAACAAGACTTAGGAGTAAAGCATCTCCCATTTCATTTCATTGCAGGATATCTCAATGTGCTCTCAAATAACCGTTGGCGTGAGCGCTGGTGCCGAGTGAAAGACAATAAACTCATTTTCCACAAGGACAGGACAGATCTGAAGACACACATTGTTTCTATCCCTCTCCGTGGATGTGAAGTCATCCCAGGACTGGATTCAAAGCATCCTCTGACCTTCCGGCTGCTTCGAAATGGGCAGGAGGTTGCTGTGCTTGAGGTGCTGTGGCTCTAATGGCTCTGACTTATAGAGACAACCACAAACTAAATTAGGGAAGCACTGTCAAACAATGTGACATTTCCAAAAATCTGTGGAGTAATGTTATTGTATAGATGGGTAATAAATACTGGAAGGAGAAAGAAAGATAGGAGTTGTAGGCAAAAGAAGAAATAAGATTTAGGAACAAGTCACATAATGCGCTTCAGAAATGTCTGTAAGAAGCTTTTCCCTGCATTGACCTTCCTTTGACCTGGTGCTAAATTATCTGTTCTCCTTTCTAGGCATACTTTTTTATCAAAGATATGGTCCTTTTGGGTAAATAACTTAGCTCTAGTTAAATAATGAATCACTGTTGATGGGAACTCTAGAGCTCTTAGCTCTCATTTGTTTGCTGTATGTGTTAGCCACTTTTGCTCAGTCTGAATTCGTGTGTTATCTTTCATTAAGAAAGACATTGTGCCAGCAACCTAGTGAGTGTCTTTATACACCTCTGTGTTAGCTGCACAGTAACTTGTGCCTGGAGGTGTGGGAGCAGAGAAGAGCTCAGAGCTGTGGTCCTTGCACAGCTCTGTCTGTCAGTCTGGACAGCTGCCAGTCTGACCTATGGAAGGATCCAGGCTCTGATGGGATCTCATTTCAAGGAGCAGAATTTGACTGAGGATGACTGGCAAACTGGTGTGGGAAAGGCTTCTGAACTCGAAAATTGCCTTTGGTGACTATGCCACTCTGTAACAAATGCAAGAGCAAGTTATAACTGAAGAGTCAAAATGAAACTTCAAAAAATTATGTCAGATCTTGTTTTCAGATCTTGTTTAAATCGGATTTTGAAAAGTGGTTCAGGATGCGGCAGGAGATATTTGTCCATTATATTTGAATTTTTAAAAATTAGTTTTAAAGTATTTGTTCTTCTGCCACTTGGGAAATAAACACCATCAGGTCGGCATAAGCAAATTGAATCTTTCAAAAAACATGACTAGTTTCTTCTACTAGTTCATGTTTTTTTTCCACTCGTTTCAACTTGGCAATAATGTTTAATTCTCAAGATTTATCCTAACTAAAATCTGCCTAGGAAAATAATTCAGTTACAGCTTTCAATTTTCTGAATTCTAAAGTAAACATGACCTGAATCTAAATCCACTAGCCTTAAATGATTATTTTTATTTCTTTTGCGGAGATTGCCCACTTTGTATTACATCACAGCTGGTGAGCACGCGGCTTACTTAAAATGCAGTCCTTCTAGCAAAGCAGATTTAATGAGAAATCCTGGGTTTTCTGACTTCAGCGAAAAGAAACCAGAGCCTCTTGTATAATATGATCAGCCAAGAAGAATGCTGCATTTTGAAACAATGCTGTGACTACCTCACTTTGGTGGTGGACTAAAGACTTGACATATGGTTTTGCATTCTCCTTACAGGCATCTTCCTCTGAAGACATGGGCAGATGGATAGGGATGTTGCTTGCAGAAACGGGATCTTCGACAGACCCCGGAGCTCTGCACTATGACTACATCGATGTGGAAATGACAGCAAGTGTCATCCAGGCTGCAAAACAGACCTTCTGGTGAGAGGCATTTGGCTACCTGGTTGTTTTCAGTACTATGAGAATTTATATCTGCACATTAAGTCTGGTGCCAAGAGAGCTTATCAAATCCCCTCATCCTCTTTGCTAGATCTTGAAGTCCTGAAGTGTCTCAGCATTGCAGTATAGTAGATGTGTTTAAGATTATCTTGTTGGCATCTTGCTAAAGCTGTGTTAAATGCAGACACCAGCCAGTTTTACTCATGTCTTGACTCATTTTTAAGTGAGTCTCTTTATTAACCACTATATTTTGCTTGAAGCCTTAGAATTAACCCTGGAAAAGGACAGTTATGCTGAAAAGTAAATAAATACATGGGTACATAGTTTGCAATCATTTACTTATTCACTATATAATATTTGTGTCTTAACAGAACCACTAGAAGTGTGCATCAAATTTAACTGTGAGTCACCTTCTCAGTGTTTCCTTCTCATGTCCTTTTTTGATTAATTAACAATTACATCAAGCCAGTTCAATTTATTTATAGTTCGTAATTGTGAAGGTGGAAATTGGGAAGCACTCTTGGGTGCAGCACAGAAATTCTATTTAAAATGCAAATTGGTCCTTCATCACTGATCCTGTGTTAAGAAAAATAACACATACTTTGTATATACAGCATTTTACATGTACAAATGAGTTTTGTCACTAAAGCAGTCTCCAGTGGGAAGAGAATCTCATTTTTCCTGGGATTGATGAGACTGTTTAGAAGCAGGGGTGAGAGAATGACTGGGCCACAGTAGATCTCCTCTGCAGACGTACCCTGTGGTTTGCTGGGGTCAGAAGACAACTGGCCTGACAAGACAGTTTATAGAGGTGTCAGCTAAATGAGACTCCCTAAGGATTCAACAAATGTGAAATTTATGTGACAATACATTAGAGAATCACACTACATCTGCCTGTCATAAAGGATCAATAATGCCAAAAAAAGAAAAAGAAAAAGCTTCAGAGTTTTCCTAAAGAAAACACTTCCACTAACTATGTGTTAAGAAAGCTACAGCAAGAGAAAACACCTAGCTTCATTCAGGATCTATCTTGAGTGTCTTTAGATAGAAATCAAAGTGACTCCGTGTTACCACAGTCCCAGTTCTGTGAAAACCAGATAGTTTTGATAGAATCAAAATGCACTGTGCTTATAGACTTATGTTAATATTTGTTTTGAAGTTAATAGGGTTCAAAAAGTTTATCCTGTGTTGACATGTGTTTTTGCTTCAGTCAGCATCTCACAATAACCACATCTAAGAAAGAAACAGAATGGAAACCTTTCGCCCCCAAATACTGCTTGGCTTTCCTTTTCTGAACAAATGTGATATTAATTGGAGCCAAGTGAAAAAACATATGCAACTAGACCACATGTTAGAAAGGAATGTCAAACAACTTGCAAAATAGCAAAATTCCCCTATTAAAAATTAGTTAAAGTTCACTGGCTGTCTTTAAAAGTCTGTATGAACTTGTCAGAAAGCAACTAAAGTAGCCCTATACTGATGTTCAACTGTTCCTAGAAAAAGAGGGAAAATGACAATGATATAAAATATTATTGCCACCCTTTTTAGAATGAATATCCATATTCCAAATTAACTGTGGTTGTCATTAAAGGTTTGATGAACATTCAGTCACTTCAGACTTTTCCTGAGATTGATGCTCTGCCAAATAATTGGTTTTCATTAATAATCTCATCAATTTTCTGTATGTGAGGCTTCTTGGAAAGGCTGAATAAAAATTGTTTCCAAACAGTTTTCTCCATTGGCTTTCCCATTTAGCAGCTTCAGAATGCAATTACTTTATGTGGATGCATCTGTAAGCTAGTTTAATGAGGCTTAGTGTAATAACGTTCATGAAGTGTTTACAGATACTTAGATAAACTTTAGCTTTCTTTGCTGATGAAAACAGTTATGGCAGGTGCATCAGATCTTGTTCATGAATATCCCAGTTTTCAAATGTGTGTAATACGCATTGCTTTCAATGAAGTTACTTAAATAAGCAGAAACACAATAACAGCTCCAAATGTAGTCCTTCAGGCTAACCAGAAACAATCGACTAACGTTCTTCATTAAGAGAAGCAGTAGATAAATGCATCTCTTTAATAATGTCTAATGAAGTATGAGATAAAACAATGTTTATCATGGCATTTATCGTAGGCTTTTTATTGTTTGTTTGTTTTAAAAAAAGAAAAGCTTCTGGCTAGTGATTATTCCACCTATGCCCTGCCTGTGCATTACTGGGGCTGAGGCAGACCTAAAAGGCTCACATTCAACTGAGCAAGTTCATTCCTTCTGCAAGCCTGGCTCTCCTGTGGCTCAGGTGAGCCATTGCTGGATCAGGTCTGTCTCCCTCAGAATAACTATTTCAATGGTCTAGATGTTATTTCAAAGCCAAAAGAAAGCAAATGTTAAAACCACAGAATTCCTGAGCTCTGGCCAGCACTACAGAAGACCCTCTCAGCTTTAGCAGGGCTTTGTCATATTTTATGAATATCAGCACAGAGCCTGAATGGTCCCATTGTTTGAGATAGAAAGCTTTGTGTTCCCTTTCATGTATACCTGAATCTATAGGAATTATTTGGAATCTCACTCTATACCTCATTTAGTTCCAGAGCTTGCTAGGAAAGAAAACTAACCCTTGAGGTTGTTACAGCCTTTGGGCTTGAATCTTCTAGTTTCTGCATTTTTAGATCTTTGCTCTGAACACAGATCCCACTGTAGTCTGTGATATTATGCATGTGTTCTTCAGAATTCCAGTAAAAGAAGAGGAGCAAACAAAAGCAAAATTATCTGTCCCTTTTGAAGCATTTAGAGGGCTCATCTCCACTGTGTGAAACGCAGTGATAATGAGAATAGGGACTGTTTGTGTGCACAGTTGCCCTGGTGGAGAGCTAGGAAGCATAGTGCCATTGTACAAACTCCACACAGCCAAAAGTTCTGACATGGACATGAAAAATGCCCAGAATTTGGGACAGAATGATTTGCAAATTTTCATGGATGTGCTGACTTATATTTCATCAGAGTTCCACCTTTTTCTGTTTTTCAGTTTTTTGCTAGATTATTCAGTTTTTGCTTGATTATTGCTCCTCCATATTCCGAGTTTGTGTCCCCCCGACCATGTGTGCACTCAGAAACACCTGCTTCTAATGCATGCAGACAACAAGGGAATGTTTATGGGACACTGGCAAGTTGGTTTATAACATAGATCAGCAGGTTCCCATGTAAACGTGCCAATGATCGGTTACAGCTGTTGCCATCCTGGCTTATACACTGTCTTATCCTTGCTCTGAGAATACAGTATGGAAACATGTGGTGTAATATTGGCTGCTAGCAGCAACAGATGAGTAGCAAAAGAAGGAAAGCTGTCCACAGCATTCCTGCAGAAGATGAGAATATATGTACTTCCAGGCTGCAGAATCTGACACAGGGAACGTACCACAGAATCATCATTTAGACTTGGGTTCAAGTGCTGTTTTTTATTATTTTTATTTTGTTTTATTCAGTTTTATGAACAGGCGAGTTATATCCACAAATCCATACCGGGGAAGCACTGCCAATGGCTATGCATGTCCGAGTGGAATGGCACTTCATTACGATGATGTTCCCTGCATAAATGGATCGGTAAGAATTGAATTTACACAGCACAAATGGTTTGCATGTGTTGAATGCGTGGACATCTGAAAATTATATTATCTAAAAAGGCCCACTGGGCAGATTCCAAATGAAGTCCTATTTTTCAGACTGGGGACTGCAAACTTCCCTCACACCTATAGAGTATTAGGGGTGTGGGACATATTGCTTACATTAACCTGCACATGAGCCAACATGCATTTAAAAAGCAGTTGCTTGTTGATGATTTGTTGCCAAGTCCTTGAATATAATACTGACTCAAGGGGATATTTTTCAGATCACACCGAAGCTGGCAAAAATAAGTACTCAGTTTTACCAGGTGCATTTTGGTGTCTGTTAAAAAACATACAGAACATTTTTCTGTCCCTGGGGCTGCATTCCCCATGAGAGCAGGTATTGGACATCCCAAAGGAGAATTACAGGGGTTGATTCCATCCACATAATACACAGAGCTGATCACAGTCAGCTGTGTAATAGGTTCTAATGCATAGTGGATATTTACCCTTAGTGATATGTCATCCTCACAATTTACAGGGCAGATACAGCTCATGGCAGCTTTTAATTTGGGCTGTTTCATAAATGCTCTCACTAAGGCTGAGATCAGAAAAATTCAGTGTTTCCAAGTGCTAAGTGAACTGCAAGCAAAGTCCTCCATCATTTCTTCGTACTGTCAGAAAGATGGTAGAAAAAAAAACCTTTTGGGAACTGCATGCAACAGCATGTGGGGCGAGTAGTCTGTGTATGTAGTTCTTGGATGTGCTCAAGCCTTTGTGTGAGTAGCATACTGCCACAGCCAGGATGGATTAAGGAAGGATATTTGGCAACCAGGCCCGTGATTTCTTTTAAGATTAATTGAATGAATCAGTGGAGTATTGTTGTTGAGCTTTCCATTTTTCTGAAGAAAAAAAAAAAAAAAGGAAATGGCCTGTAGTTATTTTAGATAGTTAGCTCAGAATGATAATCTTCCAGCAAATAAAATGTAATACTAGCATACCAGCAGCTGGTATTCACTGCAAAAACATATAGCCTGAAGAAGAAAAAAAAAAAAAAAAGGAAAAAAAAACCTTTTGGCATGTGCTAGCAGTTAGGCATTATTACTTTTAACAACTCATGTACCAGATGTAATCCCACAGATTCATCTGTGCAGCCCATGAGGGTCCCCCTGTTAACACATTCTCCTTGTGCCCCCTCAGTGGTGAGCTAACAATTGATGATACAGTCTGTGAGCAGAAAGAGTATTAGGATAGCATCAGCTTGCTCATGCAATGGAAAATGCAAAGGCTATGAGCCATGTAATGCAATGCTTCCTTTCCATGCTGTGTCTTCCCCCACCTTTCTGAGTAGTTAGCTTCAAGTGTAAGCACTGAGCATAAGCTTCCTGAATGTGGAGGGCTTGCTATGGTCAGAAATCTTACTAATGTTTTAATTTCACTCAGGTTCTGCATGGTGTATTGTTTACTAACTGCCAAAGTGTGTGTATTGCAGTGGGAACCAGAAGATGGCTTTCCTTCTTCTCGTAGCAGGAGCATGGGAGAAGAAATGCTTTATGATAACGCAGGCCTGTACGATAACTTGCCGTCTCCAAAAATCTTTGCACGCTATCCGCCAGCTGACAGGAAAACCAATAGGTTATCTACTGACAAACTCTCCTCTAACCATTACAAACACCCTGTCTCATCCAATCTGTCTTCTGCTCAGTCTGTCACTAATACCTCTGCTGTGGGGAGGGGATCTGTCTCACAGGTACTGTACTATTTAATACTTGACAACGCTTTTTATTTTTTTGGCTGTTCTGTTTATCTGATTGTTATGTTAGGAACGTTGGGTTATTTTAGGCAGTCTGAGCACTGAAGTGCTTGTGGGTCAGTTACCAGCCTGCTGCCATTAAAACAGTTTTGCCAAGTGACTTGTAGGCAAGGCTTTCCCCATGAGTTCATGCCGATTTACAGATTGTAGGTAGTACCAAGCAGATAGATGTGGCCTTCCATGCTTAACCTGAACACATACGTAGCTTCCTTCTATCTCCTTGGCATACAGTAGTGACTTCAAAATTAAAAAGAAAAAGAAGTAGCATTGTAAGTGAAATATGACTTGGTTGTGACAGCAAATTCACATACCTGGAATGATTAAGCTATATATTATATATGCTATGACTATGTATAATGTGAATATATATATAAATAAGAACACTAGATTATATTATATGCACCATATTTAAATTACTGCCTGTTATTTTCTTCCTGACCTTGGCTGCATCAGGCTTCTCATTCCACTTTCTTTTCAGTCCTTTAAAGGTTTTTGAAGGAGATGATGAAGATGCCAGGGCACAGATGTGCTTGGCTAACGCATTCTAGGTGGAAATGTGAGGAGTAGGCAGCACAATATTTCTCATCCTTGGGTTCATTTTTTTAATAAGAAAAATTTTTAGAAGCTTGCAGCCATAGAATAGAAAACAGTGTATTAACTCTTAATATTTAAAAATGTGTAACTGAATCATTTTGAAACAACATGGTTATATAATAAATAAGAAAGTGTTGAATTTTTCTGTGGCAAACCATGTTGGAACTTTCTGAGTGCAATCAGTGTTGAAAACACTATGTTTCAGGAATCTTTACTATATGAAATTATAATAAGGAACAACTATTCTGCCTCACAGTGGCTATGTTAGTATACTAAATGCCTGATGTTCAAATAATTTGGAAACCGTGATGCCACTAGAAATGGGGTGTTCATCCCCTCATTATTCTGTGATTCCTGGTGATTTCCCTTCTGGGATCCAGCTAAGCAGGCTGCTCTCAGAGACCAAGTCCCTGGAGAATGCTTTGTCTCTAGCTGGATCAGTGCAATCTATTAAGGCTCTCTGAGCAGGCAGCTTTTTGTCAAGATTTGCCCTTGATGAGTGGATAACTGCTATGCCAGTGGCACAAGAGTAGCTGAAGCCCATTTGTACTTTTGCTTTTAAACAGTTCAAAGGCAAGAAACCTCCTGCAACTGCTAACGGGATCACTGGAAAAGTGAGAACATTAAATAGCCAACCGAAGAAACCTGAATCAGTGTCATGTGTGAAGCGCACAGCATCCAGTAAGTATATCTACTCATTGCTACTACTGTGAATGGAATCATGAGGGTACCCAAGACAGCTGTCTTCTTGGTAAACAAGATGAATAGCCAATATAGCTCTTCTGTATCTGAGAGACTGGGCAGGAGATGCCCACTGTGACACTGAATAGGAGATACTGTGTGCATTAGTGACTCATTATTACTCCAGCCATGCCATGATATAAAAGGTTGTAATGTGGAGAATGATAAATGTATTTCTGTGGCTGCAAAAAGCCATGAGAGCAGAAGGAAAAAAATAAGTAATAATTCTTCATTTGGAGTGTAGGGTAATTTTGTATTCCTGTGGGAAGAGGAGAGTGAGAAGCTAGGAGAGTCATGAGAACATTATAGTGCTCATAAGAAAAATTACTCTTATCTCTAATGAAAAAGATATAACAAAATAATGAAAACAAATGTACAGCTTAAAAGCTTCCTTAGAGAGATGAGATTTCAGACCATAAACAGCAAATTCAGAATATGGATTCCACTGGGCAGGTGGATTGCCTGTAGGTAATATGAGTACATCCTTTCTGAGATGGAGGAAAGAAATTTTATAGGAAGAAATGAAAATATGAGAATACTTGTCAAATATCCAGCCCTCAAATTTTTACTAATTAAAAACAATCCTAACAGAGATAGTTTTCCTTAAAGAAGAAAAGACAACCAAGAGCTATAGTTGTAATTTTTAAGATATGGATTCCAAAATTTGGCTTCTGCTAGTGAAGGAATGAATGTGACTTTTTGAGACTATGGTAAATTTTTAAGGAGTCATGGATTTAAAGGGAATATAAGAAAATAAAGTTAGGTTTTAGGATTTAAAAATTGTGTCTTTCCAACTACACAAGTCAGTTGACATTAGAGTAGATTGTTGGAGAAAAGGCATTTCAGCTACCAAAGGCAAATGTAAACTGGTTAGGCAGCTGTTCCTCAGGAATAGTTTAGGTAAAATGGATGGCCTTCAGATATGCAGGCAAGCTGATCTGTGGGGTGACCTATTTCCTTTAAGTTGCAACAGGAGCAGAGGTATAAATGTGTCTGTGAAATAAATTAACACACATATGTGAGCCAGGAAAAGAAAGCATGTCTATGGGAAATTTAAAAAAAAAAAAAAGAAGAAGAAGAAGAAAAGAAGGAAAGAAAGAAATCTCGTAAGTATCAAATAAACTGAGAATGTCATTTTGTTCCCTACAGTCAGGTGAGAAAAGACATGTGCTTTAGGTACTAGAAATAGAATGGAAGCTAGGCAAAAAGGGCAAACATAGTTATGTAGTTTTTCCTTTGATCACTTCAAATTAAAAATCAGGGCTTCTGAGATAAATAGAAGCCTTCTTTCCTTGCTCTGAACTACAAAGAAGGTCAGGACATTTTTAAAAAACACTTTAATAAAACCTAGAGATTAAACTGTCTGTCCTATAGTATTTCCTTAGCTGTGCTTCAGAGCTCAGCAGGAATCATGTAACTTCAGGAAAAGCCAGTGGAAGGTGGATGTCCTCCAAACATGAAGTGCATCATGTGATGTTCAGTTTCAGGGTATAGTTTTGCGTTTTACTGTTTTTGTGTTAGTTGAACCGAGTCATTAAGGCAATGAGCTGCCTGAACAGCTGAGGAAGCACATGTACACTCACACACATCTATTCTATAAAGGCTTGATTAACTCAAAGTTACATTGAGGAGGGTTAAGTTTTTTGTGTCTACCATTTTAACCTGTGACCAAAGTTTAAATGGCAGCAGACAAAGTCCAACTGGATCAAATAAATAGTTACCATCTAATATATACAGATGCAGAACAGTACAAATATGGTAAGAATCGTGTGGAGGCTGATGCAAAGAGGTTGCAGAGCAAAGAAGAGGAACTGCTAAAGAGGAAAGAAGCACTGCGGAATAGGCTGGCCCAGCTCCGAAAAGAAAGAAAAGATCTACGTGCTGCCATCGAAGTCAATGCTGGTATGAGGTGCTTTTTTGTGCTCAGTCCTGCCTGTGGCATTCTGTGGTGAAGAGATGCCATTACTTGAAATTTGGTCTTGATGTTAAATTATACTCTGTAATATCTGTATTTGGTTTTTATACATACACAAATTTTGTATGAAGATGTGTGTACATATGGATACACACACCTATGAAATGATAGTGATGCATATGTAAAGCAAGCATAATATGGGAATAATTTTATTGTGGCTAGCTAATTATGTTTTCATTACATGGAAAAATAACAAAAACATTGATTTGCAACTAGACTTCAAATCTAGGGAAGGAGTGTGAAAGAATGTATTTGCTTCCCATTGCTAAACTTTTTACGTGACAAATGTTTTTTTGCAAATTATGCAACATTCTTGTGAAGTCAGTGATTTTTTGAGCCCTTCCTTTTTTTCTTTTAAAAAAAGAAAATAATTTTTGTAGAAGTGTCAGTTAAAGCTTCTTGTTGTAATAACAACATTGCTGTGGATGACAGGCAGGAAGACCCAAGTGATTCTTGAAGACAAGTTAAAGAAGCTGGAAGAGGAATGTAAGACAAAGGAGGCTGAGCGTGTAAACCTGGAGCTAGAACTGACTGAGGTGAAAGAGAGCCTTAAGAAAGCCCTGGCTGGTGGGATCACATTGGGCTTGGCTATTGAGCCCAAGTCAGGAACATCAAGCCCACAGGTATGCAGATTCCAAGACCACAGTCTAGGATGGCTCCATTAATAAGTGGGAAGTCAGAGTTTTTCAAAGGTTTATTAAGCACATGAAATAAGAACAGAATTGTTTTTTTAATCTTCATTACCTGTGTTCTTCATCTCTGTATGACATACTCTCTAGAGCAATGGGGAGCAAGTAGAAGGGAATCTCAAGTCATATATATAGGCAGTTAGTATTTGTGTTAGGATAACACATAAAAACTGCCTTCCCCTTGTCCTCAGGGTTTGTAGGAGCATAAACTGAGATATTTCTCATTCCCAAGAAGAGATTTAAATGCACCATACCATCATGCAGTGACTGAGATCTACTTGTTTTGGTCACACTGTCACCCTTTGCAATGACTGCATTCTACACACTGGTGATGGAGTATGGTATCCTGGCTGAAGCAGCTGGGTAGCTGTATCACAGAGATCGAAGAGGCATGTGTCAGACCCTCCCCATTATCCACTGTTGTTTTATTACAGAAAATGAACTTTCATCAGAGAACATACACTCTATTTTTGTTCTAACTCCTTTTTCATTTATTTATCATCATAATGAATACAATTTCTTTAAAAGTAGTTTCTGAAGTCTAAGCAATATTGCCTATGTGACTACTTGAAGGAAACTCAGTGTTGGGTTTTCACTCTTTATTAGTCTCCAATTTTCAAGCACCGAACTTTGGAAAACTCTCCAATCTCCAGCTGTGATACCAGTGACACTGAGTGCTCAATACCTGTGAACAGTGCAGCAGCTCTGAAGCGACCTCCCTCATCAAATAGTTCTCCATGTCGGGGGCATGTACTTCGAAAAGCAAAGGTGAGAAGACATATATAGTTTTCTTTCTCTGTCCTTTTTCTTACTTAAAAAAAAAAATATATGTTTACTCATGGAGAGATGAGAAAGATAGAGAGGGAAATACTGGTTGTTTTTCTGTGGGTGAAATTTAGCTTTCAGAAGTGGCACTGCCATATCAAGATCGTTTGTATTACTTCATCTATGCTTTATAAATGCTGTCCTCTAGGCAGGAGTGATTTGGGGGAATATTTGTAGATTAATTGATAATCAGAGAGATTTAATTCCACTTTTCTCTGTGTTCCTTTCTAACTTCAATTTGCAAGGAAAGTGGTGTGTAGAGTAGATAGTCCAGCCAAAATTCAATGTTACACTAAGTTGCATAGCTGAAATGTGTCTGAGAGCTCACAGTTCTGATGGAACACATTACAAGGGCTGATCTTTGCCAGCTGTACAAGAACGGAATAGTTCTGCATTATATTAATTGACAATGCATTGTGCAATCCTAAAATGCATTTAAAGTAAAATCAGTTTAATTTAATTCAACACGTACCAGGCTGAAGTTTGCACTCCTGTTCTACTGTTACAGATTTTTTAATTTAATTTTTGTGCTTTATATTCAGTGAGATTTGCATGACCATTCTTGTGGGCTACACTTGCAATAGAACATAAGCACGTGGGCAGCACATAATTAAGGGTGATAGTAGTAGCAGTGGCTCATGCTTTTGTTGATTGGGTAGTTCACTTCTAATTGTAATTATAAGTAATAATAATCATAAACAGCTGTTTCTGTGCCATCCCTTTTTTTTTTTTTTCTTCAAAGTAATAAAACATTATTCAAGGTAGTTGTTTTTTAAAAATAACTTTTGTTAAAAGCAGTCACAGTCTTCATTAATAAAACACATTTACATTATCTGAGCATAAGCCTGGCACTTAAATTACTAGATACTAAAAAATCATCAGCTAAGCAGATTATTTGGTTCTATGACCCATCTCATTGACTCCCTGTGTTTTTTCTAGCCACCAGGTTCTCAATATTGCAATGAATTAATTCTCCTGCTGTAGCTTATGTGAGTGTGTTTCCACCAGCCTTCCACAACTTCCTCCCTTTTTGCCATGGGCATCAGTAGCCTTTTCTGTCAGTTGGCCTGATTTATTTACATTCAGCTAAGAATAATTAAACAGGGAGTGATTGGTTTCAATTCTTATTAACTTTGAAGTTTGGTGCTTCTATTTGAAACTTGGAGAAGAATTCATGCACTCCAGAGCTTATTGTTGAATTCCAATTATGCTATAATTTGTCTCATAAAGATATCATCTCTAACTACACATTTTATTTTAGCTTTGCATGTTAGCACAGCATTACTGGGGAAATGTGTCTAGCAGTTAGAGCACAGTCCTGACAAAAAGCAGCATGGATTTTTTTCATGAGTGCTACAGACTGATCAGGCACATTTAATCTTTAGATCTGGAGAAACCTATAAAAACCTGAACAGTGTTGGTGTAAAGAATACTTTACAGCTGTATTTCATTTTTGTGTTCAGCTTATACCACACAGGAAAAGTCCTGCCGTGCTGTTCGATATCACTGCGCTTTGGGTGGCACAATAGGTTGGTCAAGTCTTGTTGGAGGGGAATCATGAATATGAGAGTAGATTAATCTGAAAGTCTATTGAGCTACTAAGTGCATTTCCCACTCTGGGATAAATAAAGTATCCAATTCAGCTTTAGCAGCTTTTTCCTGAAAGCCTCATGCACTAAATATTAACAGTGAAATTTTGCTGAATTAGACAGTGCAACCCAAGCTGTGCTCAGCCCATTCGCCAGGAGCAGCAGCCAAATCCTGCCATCAGGTATGCATCTGCAGCACACCCGCCTTTCAGTGGGCGTTAAATGTGCATATGCGAGGGTGGAATTTGGCTCTCAATTCTTCTGGCCTTTTGCAGTTGTGAGTGAGCCCAGGCCTTATAGATGTGGCTAAACAAAAGGAGTCACACGTGAGTATCTCAGAGCAGAACTTGGCTCTCTGCGCATGCATGTCAGTGCAATGTGTGGGAGTGAAACGGATTTCACATCCGTGCTAACACTTGTGTCTTCAGCAGCTGGCAAGTCTCCCAACGTTATGGTTGTATAAGCATTCAAAATGTTGGGTTTTTTTTCACTCTACTCTGCACTGAATGCACTGAATGCCTCCCTTTTCACTCTTTCCCTTGCATCAGGATGCTGAGCCTGTCACCAGACACTCTTGTTTGCAGCCACCCTCTTGGCAGCCCTGGAGCACTGCACCCTTCTCTGCTGCTGGATTTTTTATTTTTATTTTTTGTAACTTTTCTTATAACATCCATGTTTTTAGCGTGTTGGGGCATATTTTGGGTCAGTCAGAAGGAAATGTGATTTTGTTAAGCTATGTTGCAGAAAGGAGACTGTAGTAAAATGAAGTCTCCTGGTTTTCCAGCTCCCAGTCAGGTTATCCGTGTTGACTTAAACATTCTTTCATTGATTTGAACCTGCAGGAGCAATGGAAACCAACAGACATACCTTCTGCACCTGCAAAAGAAGCTGCTGCTCTCAAGGCTTCAACACTTCTTTAAAAAAAATTCTCTTCCCAGTTGCTCAGCCAAGGACTTCCTTTAGAGCTTTGGCAGCACGGACATAGAGAATATATATTTAACACCCATTTTAAAAAGTAATCTAGAGTTCATCAATACTGTGTTTTAAATTTAGGTTTATCATAATTTAAATTGTTAAATTGAATATTAAAAATGCATTATATTTTAATAATATTACCTTTTATATAGAAAAAAGCCAGCCAAGCTAAAAAAAAATAGTAATCTTATTTTTCCTGCATTTCTAAAGCCACCAACTGTGACTTTTGATGGTGTTTTATAGTGTGTCACGGTCATGGAGCTGTTTAGCCAAACTAATGCTTTTATCGCTTTCAGCAGCAGAAACAGATATTTACATATATAAATAAAAGTTCTCAGCTAGAGCTCTTAAATAATGTGGAATGAGCGTTAAACTCAGGAATTCAGCTTGAGAGCCAAGTTAGCAAGCTGCCTGCAGAGCATCTCTGCAGAGTCAACGGCTGGGAGAGAAATTTGTAGACCCTTGTTCCTGGCTGAGAGCAGCTGTGGGATGGCTCCACAGAGATTACTTCAGTGAGACGCCAACTCCTTTAGAGCTTCATTATTTCCTATCTCTGTATGGATGTGATTTAGGGAGTTGGTACATCATAGATGTACTAGGCTGAGCCCAGCTTTCTTTATCTCCTCTGCTCCATTGTATTGTTAGGAAGTACTGTAGCTATCAGCCAAATCAATAGCCTCAAGTTTGATTTAATGGGGTGTTTAACTATAGCAATCTTACTGTGATTTTTCACTTACGTAGCAGAAGAAGTGAGGTCAAGTGCATCCTCGGCAAGTTTGCTGATGATACCAAGCTGTGGGGTGTGGTCTAGAGAGACCTAGACAGACTTGAGTGGGACCAGGTGAACCTCATGAGGTTCATGAAGTGAAAATGCAAGGTCTTGCACCTAGGTTGAGGCAACATCCAGCAGTAATAAAGGCCGGGGGATGAAAGGATTGAGTATAGTCCTGCTGAAAAAGACCTGGAGGTAACAGCAGATGGAAAGCTGTAGATGGCTCAGCAGTGTGCCCTCGCAGCCCAGAAAGCCAACTGTATACTGGGCTGCATCAAAAGAAGTGTGGCCAGCAGGACTGGGGAGGTGATCCTGCCCCTCTGCTCTGTGCTGGTGAGGCCTCACCTGGAGTACTACATCCAGATGTGGAGCCCTCAGTACAGGAGAGACACGGACATGTTCAAACACGTCCAGAGGAAGGCTACAAAAATGCTCCAAGAGATGGAACAGCTGTCCTATGAGGACAGGGTGAGAGTGCTGGGGCTGTTCAACCTGGGATGAGGTTCAACAAGGCCAAGTGCTGGGTCCTGCACTTTGGCCACAGCAACCCCATGGAGTGCTATAGACTTGGGGACGAGTGGCTAGATGATTGTGAAGAGGAAAGGGACCTGGGGGTGTTGGTTGATGCTCGACTGAACATGAGTCGACAGTGTGCCCAGGTGGCCAAGAGGGCCAGCGCCATCCTGGCCTGCATTAAAAATAGTGTGGCCAGCAGGAGCAGGGAGGTGATCATCCCCCTGTACTCAGCACTGGTGAGGCTGCATCTCGAGTACTGTGTTCAGTTTTGGGCCCTCACTACAGGAAAGACATTGAGGCCCTGGAGCGTGTCCAGAGAAGGGCAATGAAACTGGTGAGGGGTCTGAAGCACAAATCTTATGAGGAGGGAGCTGGGATTGTTTAGTCTGGAGGAAGTTCAGGGGAGACCTCATTGCACTCTACAGCTTCCTGAAGGGAGGTTGTGATGAAGAGGGGTTTGGCCTCTTCTCCCAGGCAACAAACAGGACCCGGAGAAATGGCTGCAAGTTGTACCAGAGGAGGTTTAGGCTAGACATGAGGAAGAACTTTTTCTCTCAGAGAGTGGTCAGGCACTGGAATGGCTGCCCAGGGGTGGAGTCGCCGTCCCTGGCAGTGTTCAAGAGGCGCCTGGATGAGGAGCTGCGAGATCTGGTTTAGTGCTTGTTGTAGCAGTGGTAATGAGAAGACAGTTAAACTAGATGATCTTATAGGTCGTGTCCAACCTTGTGATTCTATGATTCTGTGATCCTGAAGAAGAGAAGGCTCTGAGGTGACCTGATAGTGGCCTTTCAGTATCTAAAGGGGAGCTACAGGAAAGAAGAGGACAGACACTTCAGCAGGGTCTGTGGTGATAGAACAAAGGGAAATGGCTTCAAGCTTAAGGAGAGGAGATTTAGGTTGGATATAAGGAAAAAGTTTGTTTTTTTTTATAGTGAGAGTGGTGAGGCACTGGCATAGGTTGCCTAGAGATGTGGTAGATGCCCCATCCTTGGATACTTTCAAGATGATGTTGGATAGTGCCCTGGACAGCCTGATGTAGCTGTGGATGTTCCTGTTGCAGGGGAGTTGGGCTGGATGACCTCTAAGGGTCCCCTTCAACTCTAAGGGTTCTATGATTCTGTGAAAGGAAGTTGCAGTAGTAATACTTTTCTTTTAAATACATGAATGAAAGCATTATAGATTGCATGCTTTGCAGTGGTTGGTAACATTCATTATCCTCAGCTAAGAGGCAGGGAAACTGAGGTATTGAAAAGCAAACAGATTTCTAAAATTTAATGAGCAGTAGATCAACTTGGACTCTGTATATAGGAAACAAATGTGGTGTTAACTATTTGATTTACTTTACCCTACCTAAGTCTCATTTTTTTGTCCTGTGCCTATCAGGAATTTTGTTAAAAAATAAAAAATAAAAATAAAAATGGAAGAGAACAGCAATCACTGTGTGTCAGCTATAACAGATATTAAATGCTTGCTTCTCTCTCACATATGTAACGTAGGAACCACTAGAAAGCACTAGGAAAAGGTTTCCATGTGTAGTTGAATGGGGTGGCAGGTGGAAACTGACTGTATCAGGATATACTTTTTAGCATTCTCTAACTAATTTGAGGGCTAATGTCTGAATCCAGTGGAGTGAGTGGAAAAACTGTTACTGACCTCAGCTGGCTTGGGCTTAGCAGATCTGATGACGTTGGTGAAATATCTTGATTTCTCTAACATTTTCCATATTTCTTTTCCCCCCTTTCAGGAATGGGAGATGAAAAACGGAACATAAATACAGCAAAACCACTCACTTTCCATAAAGGCCTTGCCTATTATGGACCACAATATAGGCTGCAAAGGACTCACCCGGTGTATCAAGCGATACAACATAAGAGGTTTTATAATTCTGTTAAGTTAATGGTAGCTTGGCGCTAATTTGCCTGTATTCCCTCTACTGTATTGCTGTGTAACTACATGTGCCCCTTTTTATTACCTGTAACTCTTTATTTCCAGCTTCACTGGTAACGCAAATGGAAACCAAAAAGCAAACCAACCATAGTAAGTAAAAAGAGGCATATAGTTGCAACTGAAAGTTTACTTTGCTGAAACAGTACAGACCAGCAATGTGAATTACATTGCATTAAATGGCCTGAACAGCACTGAAGACTGGTGCATTATTTAAGACAGATGTGAACTCATTTCAGATAAGTACTCTTGCAGGTAACATGCTTTGGAGAGCTCTGCATGCCACAGAGGTAGCTGAGGCAAGTAGTCACATTGCTCTTAGTGGTCCATGTGGCAAAAGAAAACTGAAGAAATGGCTTCACATGAATGGCATGACCTGCTTGGACTGGGAAGTAGGGAGTTCATCACTGCTACTGCCTTGATGGCAGTGGAATGACACAACTCAGCTGTGAAGAGTTTTTGGATACTTTTTAAGATAGATTTTTGTCATTGGGAAATAAAAAGCCTCCACACATTGAAAAAAATAGATTTTAGTACATTAGCTTTATTCTGAGGCACCAATCATTTTCAGAAGTCTTGTTTTCTAGCAGTGATTCATTTCTGATTTTGTTAGAAGGCAAACAGGTATTTTTAGATATTGCTTCTTTTCTATACTTTTTGAAAAAGAAAAAGAAATGTAATTGAAATTAATCCTCAACAGATAATGGCAACTCAGAATAGCTTTTGAGGTCAGTCATGTTGGTTTTTTTTTTAATAGTATTGTTAAACTTGAGTTATAGAACACTGCTGTACTTCATTTTCTTCACCTTTTCGGACCTCAGCTGTTATTTTTGAGGAAGACAAGACTGAAAGGATGATAATTTTAAGGCTTTTTTATAAACATTTTTACAAAGAATTGGGGATTTTCTCAGACAGAAGTCGGATTACTAGGAAACAGTATCTTGCATTTTACTCTGTAACATTATAGACGTGTTCATCCTTGTCTCAATCCGTGTCACTCCTGTGAAATTACGTGCACTAAATTGCCAGCTGAAGCCTTTCAAAATCTCAAGACTGGCATAAAACAGAGAGAAAAAAAACAACATGTAATAACAAATTAGGGTTTTTATTCTCTTTGTATTTTTTTTAAGCTTCTGGTGAGCTTTCAGACATGTTCTCGAGATTTTTCTCCTCAACTTTGAAGATTAAAAAACTAATTTTAAGAAATTGAAATACTATTCATGTTTTGAGATAATTGGAGAAGTTAGGGCTGGAATCTTGATAGATGGTTAGGACTTGCAATTAAAATCACAGAAGCTGGCAATGCAATAGTTATCAAGGATAGAAAATCTCTTTATGGCCTCTTCCTTTTAGGAAGAACTGTAAGTCCTGAAGCCTACACAGGTTGTGACAGCTGATGTGGTCAGCTGAGCTTTCGGCTCATTCCTGACCTGCTGCATCAGAGGAACTTCTGTGAGAGATCAGTAAACCCAGGGCCCCAGCACTGAGCTGTCAGAAAGTCTCGACACATGGCAGCTCCCTCCAGTCAGGCCACCGTGAATGCTGAGTGCTTTTGAAAAGTAGGTCCATAACAGTCCACATCCAAGGGCTAAATCCTGTTCCCAAATGCAGTTAGGGATCTAATTGACCTTAGCAGAGGAGAAATGGGGCTCAAAATTAGAGAAGGCTCTTTGCTTCTTGGGCTTGTGCTTTGCATAAGGTGCCACGAGAATGCGAATATAATGGGAAACAAATATCAGTGTGGTTCTCTGTGAAACCAGGATATATATTTTTTTTTAATATTAGTTTAGGTCTGCTTACTTATTAACTCTATAAGTGGAGAGTACATTCCATACTGTATGACTATGGACTAAGCAGTATCAAGTTCCCATAAATTTTAGCAGAAATAAATTTGAAAGAAAAGTAAGTTCATTTAGGCTTTTTATTTCAAATTAAGTTATTTATTTGTATATTTCAATAAATATTTATTTTATCTGTACATATTTATGATGCAAATTAGGCTTCTAGTCAACATTTGCAAGGATGTAACAGTTGCCATTAAGTGGTCCCACATCAAGTAACGCAGAGTAATGAAAAGTAATCAAATTCAATTCCTTTGAGTCGGTCTTATTTACCCAGTATTGGTGTTGTATCTTTCATCCCCTTTCACCTGTCCTCCTGCAAAGGGTCCTTAAAGCCATCCCCCCTCTCCCAACCCCATACTGTAATTGTATGTTTCTAATGTATAAGTGCATTGGTAACAGTGCAATTATCCTTTAGTGACATATCTATTCTATATAATAGCCAAGGTTTTGAAAGGATGAAACAACAACGAAAAACAACTCTGGAAATAACCTCTTGATAGACCACATCCAGTGCTGTGAAATACACTCCATTTTGTTTAACAGTACTGTTGCTGTGTGATTTATATAAAAAGCAACAGTGCTTGTATTTTCCACATTTTTATGATTTCAGGATCACCAGACAAAGTCTGCAATAGAGCAGTAAGACTTTTTTAATGGAAAAATATTGTATTTTAAACCATTGCATTTCTATGTCTTTTGAGAAGATGTTATACTCGTGCTTCCTCAAATTCTTGTTACTGTACCAGGTGCTTTGAAAAATTTTTTTTAATAAATAGGTGATGATTTTTTTAAGAAAACATCATAATCTTGGGGGATCAAATGTGGTTTTTTTTAACGAGATTGTGGTAATTTGATTTTTCAGATGGAGAGTACTTAATTTACTATCATTTTTTTCATTTAAGACACTTTCAAACTAATTGGCCCAGGCTGTGCGTTGTAAGATAATGTTCTCATATTAAGAATGTAATTATTTCCTTATTGTATTTTTTAAAAACAAAATCATATTTAAAAATCTCTGTGAAAAAAGCATGAAAGAAACATGAAAAAAGTTTTTGTTTTATTTTTGTTATTGGATATGTTGGCAGTGCCCATTATAATTGACTGTAAATATAGTCTTTCTACTGTATTTCTCAGTGTATTTAATTTTGTCTTTTGGCACACATTCATAGAAACTTCTGTTTAAAAAAAAAAAGTCCAAAACAGACCCACCTACAAATGTGTGTCTTAGTAGCTTCAACTAACTTTATGCCTTTCTAGTTTATTCTTCAGAAAGTCTTGCAGAGTGTGAAAAAAGACAGGCACCTGGTAGGTGCGACAGATCCAAGACCATTATTAATAAAGTTATGTGTCATAAAGATGTATTTGTATTGTTGTTTCTTGGTATTTGTCCTAATAATACATACATGGCATCTTAACATGTACCCACAATAGTCAGCCTGAACCAAATATGATTATTCCATATCAGTCAGTTGAAAAATGCATGGATTGTCTAGAATTAGTATCACATCTGTCCCCATGAAACTGTGATGACATTCTTACATGGTAACTGTGGAGTCATGGCCTGAACCACTGATTGAACACCTGGGGAAAGCACCCAGTCAGCCCTGAGAGCACAGGTGAAGGCAGTTCAGCTGTGCAGCTAGAGGGGGTGGAGCCTGGCTGCACCTCTCTTAGACCTCATTTAAGAGCTACTGCTAGTGGGGAAGGATCTCTTTCTGGAGATTCCTCCTTGGTGAAGATTTCTACTGTGAACCTGGAATCTTCTGATATGGGTGAGCAATCTTTTTCCCTTCCTTTATAGCATCTTTCTGTCATGCCGGTCCTTTTGTCATCACGTCTTTGTTGTAATGCCTTTTCCATTGCATTGATCTATCTAATTGCTACACCTGCTGCAACTTGAGTATACTCTGAGAGCCCAGCAATGGAAGTTCAGTGTGTTTAGAGCTCGTAGCAGAAACTCATGCTGCTTATCTACTGTTACTTTATCTTTTGCTTAGATGTCAACCCTATTAATAAGTATCATAAAACTGTATAACAATAAGAATTACCCCCAAGAAGTTAAAGAATCAGACCAATCTAATAATCAGGCTGAATAACTTTGAGTGCATCAATTCCTTACAGATGATTGACAGATTATATTGCAAAGCGATGAGCCATAATTATGCCTTGTTACTTTTCCTAAATTTAGCTCTCACACCCACCACATTAAACATGACATTCAGTAATAAGTAGGAAAAACAATTCATCTTACTAAACTCAGGGAAGTAACATTATAAACTAGTGCCTATTTAGCTTCCTTTTCATACTCACAACCTCCTAGACCTAAGGAGGAAAGGATGGCCAGTATATGTAAAACATACCATGGTGCTATAACTAATAAGAATTGTGTTGCAAATAGACATAGCTTTTTGTTATCAAGGCCTATAATGCTACCTTTTTCAATTAAAAAGCCTTCTACCTCAAAAGCAAAGGAAGTTGCTAACATTTCTCTGGATAAAGTAAAAATGTTTGTAGGGAAGATATATAGTGAATAAGTTGTATGTATGTATGGGAACTATTGAATCATGGCCTGAACCTCTGATTGATCACCTGAGGCAAGTTGGTCAGTGGTGGAAGCACAGGTGAAGACAATTAGACAATTCAGCTGTGTGAATGGAAGGAGTGGAGCCTGGCTCCACCTCTCCTAGACCCCATTTAAGGGCTGACTGCCACTGAGGAAGGATCATTCTCTGGAGATCACTCCTCTTGGAGTCTTTTCCTGTGAGGCCAGGATGCGGGTAAGCTTTTCCATTTATTTCCAATTATCCCTTTCCAATGTGGTAGCCTTTCCAGCTGTACACTCTCTAAAGACCAGCCTAACTTCTCTATATACTTGTTGATTATACAGCTTATATGTTTTGTAAGTGTATATAAATAATATAGTACAATAGTTGTCATATGTAATATAGAATCATCATGGTTGGAAGAGCCCACTAAGATTATCAAGTCCAACTGCAACCAGTCTCCACCATGCCCACTAACCGTGTCCTACAGTACCACATCTACAGATTGCCTAAGCACCAGCAGAGATGGTGAGTGCACCAATTCCCTGGGCAGTGTTCTCATTACTAGTTGAAGTTCTTCCTAATATCCAAACTGAACTTCCTTTGGTGCAACTTAAGGCCATTACTTCTCATTCTGTCACTAGTTAACCTGGTAGAAGAAGCCAACCTCTTATTACAGTATAATAACATCTAAACAAAACTTAAAAAATAAGTATCTTACATTACTTAAGCTCATGACCTGAAATTGCCTTATAAAAGAATGTTGTAGGTTTTTTAAAAAACTACGTTTAATTTTTGGTCTACCCATTTGCAGACCAAAGACATTGAGTGATTTGTAAGACCTCACCAATACCCAGCTTACTCCACTGAGGCATTCAAATTATAAGCAGTGCGGTGCTTTAGTGTTAGATTCTTTATTTTTCCTTCCCTGTTTTCTCTTCTCTGTTCATTTTTTTTAATTGTTTTCTGAGATTTGAACACCATCAGACATCTCATTACAGTGTTTCAGCACAGAGCATTATAAAGAAGGCCTCCTTTTTAGAGGAAGTACGGTAGTAAAGGTGATGC